AGTACGATGGAGAAAATGGATAAATGCATATATATATAAAGATCCTAAATCAGAGACAGGGGAGAGTACAGGGGAAAGAATCAAGATCCCTTTTTGAGAAACTAAACTAAAGAAGAAAAAGAGATAAAAAATAATGTGTGGGATATAATAATTTAATTATGGTTTTAGGTTTTTTTTGATTTGTTTTTATTAGGGGACTGAAAAGCCTATAAGATGGAAGTAATTAAGAAACAGATGGCAGGAGGAACTGTTGGTGGTCCATATGCATGGGAGTGAGACAAAGCTGCATATAGTCACGCCCAACCCAACCACCATGCACCCCCCCAAAAACAACCCCTCTCCTTAATATTCCACCTTAATTAATTACACTTTTGTGTAAAACTTTTACTTTGGGATGCCCCTCTAATTCAATATGTTATCTTTTCATCCGTCTCTCTTCTTTTTTCTTTATTCTTACTCCGATTAATCTGGATTCAAACCGAATAATTTCATTTCAGACAATATTCTTCCAGCTTAGTTCGATACTACCTTTACTACGGGATATTTAGTCTCAGTTTGAATTTTCCGTCTCATACGATGTGAAATAAAAGTTTCACTTTCACCGATAGGGCTTCCTAGCATGAAGTAATTGCAGGAAATTAACTTCTGTTCTTCTAAAGTAACCTACACGGATCAAATGGGAGTAAGATGTAAATGTAATACTCCCTCTGTCCCATAATTATTGTCCAGTTTTACTAAAAATGAAAGATTTTATTTTTAGTCAAACTTAACTATATTTTACCTTGAACAAGCGGATATACCCCTACATAAGTAATTGTTTAACCACAAAGATTTTAATGGATAATGTTTTTTACTAAGAACAAATGTGTAACTTGATCCATAAAAAGTCAAATTGGACAATAATTTTGGGACAAAATTTTTTAGGCAAAGTGGACAATAATTATGAAACGGAGGGAGTAATTGTTTAAAACGTTCAACGGTCCTCGATTTCATTTTTTTTTTTGTTTTTTACAATAAAAGAGGTAATTACCTAAAAAAAACTAAATAATTACAACTCGGTAAGAAACACCACCCATATTATGTTCCTACCATGATTTTAATACCGGCGGTGGAAAATCTAAGCATATATAGTAGCCCTCCAGGACACGCTAAAGAGTATTTACAATGTCTCAATGGTCAGTTCCCAATCGATTAACATCTCCACACATTCTTACTCGAGTTTGGACTATATCCTTTAAGCCACTACTCATATATCAACTGTATTATTATCTTCGCAACTCGCAATAGTTAAAAGTACCATAGCAAATAGTATTTGAGTAATTTCTTATAATTGATACACAAAAAAGGAAAAAAATCATTTTGTTAATTAACATTAGTCGATCATCCATGACGATGAACGAGAGAATGAAAACTGTTTCATTTCACAATTCACATTGTTTTTAATTATATTATCTCTCTGTCGTATATATGCATTAAAACGTAAAGTCTAAATGGAGTGAAGTAATTAACTTGTCTTATGACTACAACAGATCAAAAACAAGTTGTGTGAATGGTGTAAAACATCTTCCATCTAGAGACTTAAACCAAGCTTTCTTCATAAATTGAATGAAGGGACTTAAATAGGTAAAATTAAGTTAGAGTTCTCACAAATTTAACGTACTATGAGTTAAAAAATATAGTAAATAGTGACGGAGCTAGGAAGGATGGAAGGGTGTGGTCGCAACTGATTAATATATTTAATTAGTAAAAGTATCCAAAATTTTCATTAGAAAATTACATATCGTGTACCTCTACTTTGATTTTCTGGCCAATTAGTAGTCTTTTTTTCTTCTAATTTTGCATTCACAAATTGTTTTTCTGGCTCCGTCACTTATCGTAAAAAAGTTAATCATATCTTTTTCGCTGCAATGCAGTAACTCAGCAGAGTTTCTTGTTCACGACAAACCTATAAAACCATAACACATGGTGGTCACATAACCAAAAAGGGGACCATTATTTGCATGGCTTCTAGTGGCACATACTAAATTGTAAACATACGTATAAAAAAGAAAAGCATCTTCTTCTTTCCTTTTTACCTGGCCAAACCTCATCATGTGACTTACCCGTATTTCTCTTTGTTTTGCCTCTTTTTTTTTTTTTCTCTCTTTAACATGATGAGATCATTGAGATGAGCTATATGTGGTATCTTTTACTTTACTAGACCGAGAATGATGATAATTTTTTTTCTTCTCTTTTATGAAAAAGATGAAAAAAGAGGAGAAAAACCAAACAAACATGAAATGCCATTTGTCGGGTAAATGCAACTCTCCTGCTATTGGCCCATTGTTGTCTCCTAATAACGAAAAGACAAATCTTTAGAGGAAAAATTTTGCAGTGGATTAATTAAGTTAATAGGATGTATAACCTGTAAAGCCGAACCATGATGTTAAGAAAGTTATAAATGGCAACATCATTATCTTTTCTCTTTTGGGTTTTTTGACGATAAGTTGTCTTAACATGGTTGGTTGGTTTTTGGCCAAAACAATTCACCCTGGTGATTGAATATGTTGTGCTAATTCACCGGTAAGAATTTAGAAAGCATGCATGAATTAATCTTGAATGAAAGTAAAAGACACTGAAAGAGACAATTGTCTTTTACAACCTTCACTCCACCCTAAACGGAATTCAAGCCATCAAGAACGTTACTATATATTAGAATTACATTCTACTTTTATTGCATTATTTTTAACATACAATCACAATCACTTCCGAAATCGATGAAATACAAAAGTGCATTGTCAAAAAAAACTTCAACCGCAACTAACTAGAAAGCAAATAAAACAAGAAAATAAAGCACGCAAAATGTATCTAACTGTATCACAAAAATTGACCTAAAACTCCAAAAAAAAAAAAAAAACACATAACATTATACATAAATCTTTGGAATATTGTACAGAGTTTCAACGCAAATACGTGCTACATATTATGATTTAGAAATCTTGATAATCTTTCCAACTTCTAAACTCTAAAGTTTATAACACCTTTTTTTTTTAGTCAAAGACAAAACCTCAACCTTCATATACAAAATGATATTAAAAAAAGTCATTGCCATGCTCTAATTCTATCTGTCAAGATGAGTGCAGCAAAATGATGTAAATGCGATTTTTTTTTTTTACCCCCTTTTTGAGCTGGTGACTTTTGCTACACTAAGAACAGGAATATAAATACCGTTTTACAAAATAATTTTCCTAACAACAGAATCAGCTGGAAATGAGGCATAACTCCCAAGTCGTTAAGAACCATCATATTATCTCGACCGATCCATAGGCCCCATATTGCAGAAAAAGAAAAAAAAAAGAAAAAAAAAAGAAAAAAGTAAAGAATATACTTACCAGTGAGTGAGTCAAACACTCCAGAGATGGATCTGTTTGTAGTATTAGCTGTATCATATTTGTAGTTAAAAATGTGAGAAATGTGAAGGAATCCAATCAAAAATCTGTTTGTCCGCAAAGAGGAAGAAATGAGGCTGTCAGAGCATGACCTAACCTAGGGTTTCCCATTCCGATTCCCACATAGTATATATAAAAAAAATTTGTTCCAAGGAATCAGCTTTTTGGGTTATCATTTTAAAAATGGGATTGGATTTATTAGTGTTTTTTTTTTTTTAAACCCATTTCCAAACCCTAAATTAGATCATGCTGGCAGCTTCACTTTTTCCCTTGTGGACTTCACCATATCTTGCTCCTTGTTACTCCGACAGCACCCTCCTCCCCAAAAAAATTCACAACCAGGAAAAAGATCAAGCAACTTCGAATTTTATAATGACGGGTAGAACAAGATATATAGGCAAAGAAACCAGCAGAAAGGGCTAAACTTTAATCCAAAGAAAAGAAAATAAAAAATCAAGGATGTGCAACAGGGCCAAAGAAGAATGTTTATGGAATGAGAAACTAGAGAAGTTTTTGTTTTTATATAGGAAGGGGAAATGTGATTTGTGAAGCAGTATTTTGAACAGGTAACAGATTCATATTTATGGAGATGAATTAAAGAAACGTACTAGTACTACTGCACCTTCATATTTGGTTACAGTGATTTAAAAGCAAAGCAAACCTGCCTTTAATTTTTTTTTTTTTATAGAGTCCAACGCCATGTATATAGACCATGCAGTAACAGCAACTAGCTAGGCTCAAAGGTCATTAGGCCTTATAGGCAGGCTCTTATGATATGTTGTATAATTATGATCAACTGTTACATATACTATATCATATTTTTGAATCACAATTGGCGGAAGGATTGACTCTAAAAGAAATCGAACAGGGTTAGATGAGATGATAAGGACGTTGCTGGCTAGCTTTAACTTAGCGATTTGAAGGAACGAATAATTACACGAGTGATTTATTACCGGCATCCTTGTGATAAGCAAAAGATGCGTGGAAATTTAAGAACCAATGCCACCTTGCATTTGCTGCTTATGTCTAATGCTAACAACGTTACATGTGATTGAACATGTTTTCAGCAGCGGTTCCTTGACTTATGTCATAATAAAATTGAAGATTGGGGGAAAAAAAAAAAAAGAAACAGTGGAAATTGCACTCGGATCAAAGCACAATTGTCCAGTGGAAAAAGGAGAACAGAAATTAAATATGATTGGGGGGAAACCTTTTAGCGAAGCCTAGGGGAGAGATTAGGTTTACAGGGCTCATTCATCACTCTCCACAGCCTTACAGCTGCAGGGCTTAAAAGCTTTCCTCTGCAGTTGCCCCCAGTCTTTTGTTTTTGTGATTTTGACACCACAATGAAAGATAACAATTGGATTAAAAACACCCCAACCGTGCTCCATCTATACTTGTCAATTCTGTATTGGTTTTCAATATCGGTCAAAAAACACGATTCTTTTATAAGGGATTATTGGTTTATTAGGATTCGTAGAGTGACTGAGTAGAGTGGTCCTTATTTGATTCTTTTTCAGGCTAGCATTGTAGGCTGGAATGAGAGCATTACCCTGTTCTTCATTTATGTATTCACCTTTCACGTTCTGATGAATTTGAATCTGGAAATTCTGGATGGAAAGATAATACTAGTATGAGCAGCAGAATTAAACTTTTTTTTCTTCTTTACCTTGGTTTGCACAATTCTCAGAAAAGCCTCAACAACTGCACTAAATACTTGTAGTAATGGCTTATAAGATGTTGTTCTTCTTCAACTGCCAACTGCACCAGCAGAAAGTCTAATATAGTTTGTCATCTTGCATCTCTGGAATTAATGGACTTTTGCCAGCTAAACTTGATGCATGTAACCAGGGCAACAAAGAAAGGAAGGTTAAACGTATTAATGAAATGATGATAAAATTTGCTGTAGATGTCAACTGTACAAAATTGATGCAAATTTTTCACCCCTGTACATGTCACATTCTATGTCATTCTCAAATGTACAGCCACATTTGCTATTACTGGATTCGCCGAAAACAAAATTTCAGCCAATGTAACATCACATACCTATGTACGTCAACAATGATCTTATGGCAGATTGTGGGTTCATTAATCACCAGAAATCTCCACAAGAACATGCCCCGTCCCTGAAATGATGAAAACGGTTGGCATCTCGAACAATAATTTCGCGTTCAAGGTACTTGGACACTAGCTTGGTGAAAGTATGGCAATCACCACATACTCTAAGGTTCTTACTGATTCTAATTGGGCTACCATTAGCAGTCTTGAGGAGACCATATGAAATAGCCAGACGCTCGCTATGTCCGTTAAGCGACCTGATTTTTTTTTTCTCGTCTACATTGTGCAGAACATGTTTAGTCTGAGCTACGTACCCTCCTTCCCTCACTAATTTCTCAGTAATTTGATCCAACTTTCGGTTTATCTCACCAGACTCTGGATGAGACCTGTCATGAGCTACGAACACATGGCACTTATTGCCAATCTCTATCCAACTACAAGCAGGATCTTTCTTCAGCCCTTTTCCTTTCATAGTCAATCTGACATCCTCCACATCTTCCCATCTTTCTGATGCAGCATAGGCATTAGATACAAGGACATAATTACCGGGATTCTCTGGTTCCAATTCCAGAAGCTTATTAGCAGCAATTTCTCCTATTCTTTTGTTTGCGTGAACCCGGCAAGCATTAAGAAGAGCACACCAGACAGCAGCTGTAGGCTCAGTCTTCATAGCTTTTACGAATTGTAATGCCTCTTCCAAGCGATTGGCACGGCCAAGCATATCAACCACACAAGTATAATGCTCTGGCCAGGGCTCCAATTTATACTTCTGTTGCATCAACTCAAAAGCCCTCTTGCCCTCTTCTACCAAAGCTGAATGACTACATGCATAGAGAACTGCTAGAAAAGTGATGTGATCAGGGTACAAATTCTCACCTTCCATCCTCCTAAATAACTCAATGGCCATCTGACCAAGACCATGCATTCCAAATGCGCTGATCATGCTTGTCCAAATAGGCAAATCTTTGTCTTCTGAACAATTGAAAATCTTATATGAGCTATCCAAATCCCCACAGCAAGAGTACATATCCACAAGAGCACTGGACGTAGGACCTTCAATATCGAACCCCTTCCTGAGCATGAATCCATGCGTTTCTTTTCCTTTCCTCAACGCAGATAAATCTGAAGTAGCAGAAAGGATACCTAGTATTGCAACGAAATCTAGTTCAATTTCACTTTCTTTCATACGAGGGACAAGGTTGAGAGCTTCATATGCTAATCCGTTATCGACATAACAAGACATCAAGCTGGTGAATGACACAGCATTTTTGTCTTCAATAAATCTGAAAACACTGCATGCATAATTGATGTTTCCACATTCCCCATAGGCTTTAATAAGAGTATTTTCCATAACTGTATCATATAACCCTCTCCTTGTTAAAACCCCATGGATTTGTTTCACAAGTGAATTGGACTTTAAATGACCACAAGCAAGAAGAAGGCTCCCGATCATCAATAAGTCAACATCAACATTTTCTATCTTCATTGCCCGAAACAATTGCAACGCTTTCACAGGGACCTGATTCTGAGCATAACCCGAAATTACTGTTGTCCAACTGACATAGTCTTTGTTAGGCATCCTCTCAAAAACATTGTGCATGTAGCCAGTCCTTCCACACTTCGCATACATGTCCATAAGTGAGTTTCCTAATAGCATATCACTGTCCATTCCATTTTTCAGAGCATAAGTATGGATTTCCATTCCTTGAAGCACACTTCCTGATCTTCCAGAGGCGGAAAGCATACTTACAAGCGATATCTCATCAGGGTTCTCAATCACATCTTTCATCTCACAAAAGAAATCAAAGGCTTCATAGTACAGTCCATTTTGCACATACCCTGATAGCATTGAATTCCATGAAATATTATCTTTCTCCCTCATGTCAGCAAATATGATGGCAGCTTCGTCCATTCTATTGTTTTTACCGTACATGACAATCAAAGCATTCGCAACATAGACGTCAAGGTGATGACCCGACTTCAAACTCATTGCGTGAACTGCCATTCCCATTTTCTCAAATTCTATCTCCTCGCAGGCCTGAAGAACAGGCACACAAGTGTAAGTAGTAGGACGAACACCTGCTCTAATCAATTTGCCAAACATTTCTAATGCTTCTTCACTCATCCCACTAGCAGAGTAGGCTGAAATGATCAAATTCCACGACACAACATCCGCTCTAACTTCCAGTCCAATGAACAAACGGTTAGCTGCATGGACATCATTACAGTTGGCATACATACCCACAAGTGAATTAACAACAAATACGTTACTCAACAACCCCAATTTAGTCGCAAGTCCGTGAATTTCATACCCACAGCTCAAATCTTTCGTCATAGCACAAGCCTTTAAAACTAAAGGGAAAGTATGGGCATCAAGAGGGTGGTCAAAGACGCGCATTTTTTCATACAGTTGCAACGCTTCAAAAGGTTTTTCGTTTGTAACACAAGCGCCAATCATAGCATTCCATGCAAAAATGTTTGGCTCAGGCAATCCATCAAACACTTTCTTAGCATCCAAGAAAGACCTACATTTGCCGTACATCAACACGAGCTTCGTGTCTAAAAACAAAAGATCATCATCAGTTAAGTTTGATTTCAGAATCAAAGCATGAACCTGCTGGCCTTGTGATAAGGATTTCTGGGTTGCGCAAAGCTCAAGAAGAAAGGAACAGGAATCAACGAAACGTTTGGAACGAAAAGTTTGGGAAGGTACAACGCCGTCGCTGAGTGATTCAAAAGCCCCATTGAGGCTACCATTTTGACAAATTTCTTTGAAGGTAGTGGTTTTGATGGGAATTTTGGGAGGGGAAACCTTTGTTGCAGAGGGAAACGCAGGATTGGAGAACATCAATGGACTGTGAATCGAAGAAGCCATTTGGCTGTAAACGATACTCACCAGACAGAAATCTTTTAAGACAACAATTTGTTGCAATAAATACATAAAGAAGAGGTAACTTTCCAACTTCCGATGTCGTCCAGCGGTTAGGATATCTGGCTTTCACCCAGGAGACCCGGGTTCGATTCCCGGCATCGGAACCTTTTAGCTACTAGTTTTTGTGAACATATCAAAAAACAAGGTGACCTGGCTAGTTTATCAGTCCCTTACGGCTTTACCTACCCTTTTTGGGAAGTGAGGTTGAGCAACACGACGATACATAAATATCTCTAGCTTGAAAATGGATTATTGTTGCCTGGGATGACACTGCTTTATCATGATAGACGCCCTGATCCTCTCCAGGTAAAACAAGTTTGTCTGAAGCAGCTCTTGCATGCAAGCAGAGAAGCACCTGTGGCGCTAGGTCTATTACGCTGTCCTTGAAGGCCATGGATGAGAAAAAGGATTTGAAGTTTTTCCACACCATAGTTGAAGGATTGCAACCCAGGGAAGATCAAATCAAGTGTCAAGTGATAGTTGAGTTGTTTTTCATCCCATTAAAAGAAATTCTTGTTTGGACAACCCAAATTTTGTCATTTTGTCTCATTTTACCTCTTAAAACACATCTCAAACACAAATCCGAATACTATCTAAACAACTTTTTAATTTACTTTTTAAAATTTATTTCAAACATTTTTTCTATATCATTTTTTTACACCACCACCAGACCACTTCTGCCGCCACCGTCCCCTGCCGTCTGCGACCGTCCGGCCGATTTCCGGCCAGATTCCGGACCAAAATCTGGCCGGAAATCGGCCAGATGGTCGCCGACGGTGTTCTAAACATATTATTATTTTATTTGAAATATTACCCAAACAACTTTTTAAATTTTCTCTTAAAACATATTTTAAATCACAACTCAAAACCAAATCAAAAACTAAAACAAAATCAAAAACAAAATGTTGGCCAAAACAAGCCTTGCAGCAGGTTCATGAAGAAATTTTTGTAGAAATATGGAGAGAAATGGTGGATGATTTTAAGCCGTATTGAATAATTCAAGATTTACATTTGTGAATGCATTATAAGTGTATAAAATTGTGTTGCCCTTGTATAAGAAATGAAAATTACAGCAAACAAATTACACCAAAGATATGAGGAAAACGAACCTGACAAACTAAATTTATAGCTATGGCAAAGTGCAAACAGAGGATGGGGGAAAGAAATGACCCACATTCCATTTTATACATGAAACAAAAGAATTGTACATGTAATCGCATAACCTAAACTGGACAAAAACGCACACAATTTCAGTGGGTCACTCACTTCCTGGCGACAAAATTTTCAATATGTAACAACAGTTCCTGCTATTACTATACAACCTTGTTATGGCTTTCACTCTACTTATGTACAACACACCTCGGCGGAATTCAGCGCCTTCTCTTTCAAAAGTCAAAGACGCTTGATTCCCAGGAACCAACAATATCCACCCTTCTTTTCAATTCCAATTTTCACTGGCGTAAGGTCACTGTTACTTCCCCCTTCCAAATCAGCTGCTTCTGTCTCAACCCCTGGCCAGCTCGCTTGTGTCCTGTTAACTTCCCATCTTAGTGAAGTTCCTTATGTTCCAAACTGCAACTGAATAGCCTGGGGACAAAGATAGCCAAAAGATGGCAGCAATAACCTGTGAAATGCTTATTTAATTCTCATGATCTCACCCCTGATTAGCAGCAAACTTCACACTTTCATCGGGCAACGTCCATGAAATCAAATTCCCACCAAAGTCCCCACTCAACAACTGTTTCAGGTCACTCGTTAGGTGGAGGGCAGTGACAGGATTTTTGTGAAACTTCAATACTTTGTGCAGGACCAACTTGTATTCAGGCATTTTATCCCCGAGAGCTAGACCCCCGGTCGGATTTCCAATCATTTTGGTTTGGGAAACCTCCTCAGAGCAGTGAATCATTTTCCAGATCTTCACTGCCCCACTTTGGTGACCAGAGACATACCAGTTAGTATCCAGCCAATCAGAGAAGGTACAACCGGTGAGTGATAATATGTAATCAGATGGAAGCTGTGATGTATTGACAACTGCCAGGCAGTCGCCATTGATACTCCAGATAGCAAGTGTGACACCAGCTGCAGTAGCAATTTCCCCAGTCATATCATTCACGTATATGGCTGATACAGGAGAAGAGAACTCTGGAAGCTGCCTAACAAAACCCAAAGAGCTGAGATCCCATATTATGACACTGCAATCATCTGATCCGCTAACAATCATCATGTGAGGCTGACTAACGTGGAGGCATGTTATTTTGGCTGTGTGGGCACAAAGTGACTGCTCCAATTGCAGCCGTCTGACAGCACGAGGTCCATCTTTGGCAATTCTCCAGACACAAATTAGCCCATCGTCTGCACCAGTAACCAGAATCTGACCATCGTGGCTAGCACTGGCACACTGTATCTGGCTGCCTCCATGTAGATTTTCATGAGTAGAGAGAAGCCTATCTTGATCATAGGAAATAAACCTCAAACTACGATCCGGGAATCCCCATGCAACATATTTGGCATATGTTCTCGGCTTCAGTAAATTATTTGCTCCCGCCACAAGAATCTTATCATTCAAAGTTACTATCTGAGACACAGGGGATGAATTCTTACGAATCTCATGTGGAACAAGATGCAGAGAGTGTTTGAGGGGATGAGGAGGCAGTTTTCGGTCTGACCGCCTTTTAGGATGGGGCTTGAGGAAGAGCTGTTTAGGTGTTTGTCCAAAGTGATTGATCTGTGCTAAAATTGAGGCTTTCATTGCAGGGTCTGTCACAGAGTCAATATCAACACTGCCTTCATATGTGTAGTGGTAGAAGACATTCACCGCTTCTTCCGCAGCCTATGATTCAAAAACAACGAAAATATGAAAATTCATTTCAGGGAACAAAATTAAAGAAGGGCAGCACAGTGAATCAACACAAACTTGTTCCAACAAATGATACTGCTTTTATGACTTTCAATGAGAAACTAATAAATGAGTGTCAACTAGTTGAAGCAAGATTGGCGACCGAAAGTAATATAAAATGTGCGTCATAAGTAAATTTAAAAATGAAGACTAATGTATAAGGTATCCAGTGGACTTCTACAATTTGAATATCATAATTTACAAAATTGTAATCCTGCTCAATCCAAAAGACGAGACGTCAAAAATGACTCGAAGATGGAAGAAAAAAAGCGAGAAAGAATGATTAACATCAAAATAAGGATTGATTCAAGATCTCTACTATCTAGAGTTCTGGTGGTGGGTAATTGAGATTATTCGGAAACTAATGCATTAATTCACTTTTTATATCCACCTGTGAAAAAAAAAGGTTTAAAAGCTGATAATAAGGTATAGCATTGTAAAATAGTAAATAGCTCACCTTCCCTCTCTGCTTATGCCCGAAGATAAGGTCAATCCAATGATGCAGATTCTCTGAAACATAGTCAGACTCCAATGCTTCCCTATGCTTCCGGATGAACTCTCTAAAACTGCCTTTTGCCCAAGGAGGTAATATGACATGGTTAACCTGCCAAGCATTAACACACAATTTAAAAAATCTTTATCCTGTTTTATGAGGGAAAGCAGTTACAGCATCAAAGACAACAAACCTTTTCTCCCGATTGTTTCTCGCCCAAGTCAAGGTTGAACCTATTTTCCAGAAATTCAGGCATATAGAAAAATTCTGGAATCAATTCCTTAACATCAGACGTGTTGCCCTTTCCTGCTGCACTTAACCATGTATCCCTAATACTATTAAATAGGCGATCAGCATGATCAAACTGTCCACCCTGTAGCTTCTGGTTCTCAGTACTGAATGGTGGCAAGCGTATGAGGTAAAAGAGAACAATTCCAGCACTTGAATAATGTGAACCATAATGAAACTTCGGAACTTCTGGATCATCCCAGCTCTCATATCTAATGCAGCAAGAAAATGAATAAACACAAAAATTGGATAGGAGAAAATCATACTCCCTCTGCCTAAAGAAATACTCCACATTGAGTTTATTTGTACTAAAAATAGCGCAAATCTCAATTTTTTAGTACAAATCTCAAATCTCAATGTGGACTATTTTTTCCGGGACAGAGAGTATAACAATACAATGTATTCCAAAGCCACAAAGTAGCCAATCAACGACAAAGAACCAACCTTTTCCGAAATTCCTCTTCTCCTTCTAGTGTCTGGCACCCCATAGGTCTGTCAAGCCTACGAAATGCTTTGGGATCTGACAAGTCCAGATCCTCACTCTCATAATCTGCCAAAACCCAGGGAAAGACTGGGTACTGGGTTAGATCACTGTATCCACGGCCAGCCAAGGTGTTTAGATGCATTAGATACTGAAAGTTGCTGATTTCTCCATTTTGCCACCTCTTGGAAAACGATTTTGCCATAACCTTAAAAAGGCGGCTGCCTTCATTGCTCTCCGGTTTTGTTGATCCAGAGATTGTGGTGTCCAACCTGTTGAAAGTACCAGGTTTATACATTTAATTATGATAGAAATAAAAATAAAAGAGCCTGGAACTGTTGAAAAAACTCTTTTTCTAGTAACAAACATGAGATCAAAGGCTGATAAAAATATCATGTCCAAATCTAATTTGTAAATCAATCAACTCTTAACAAGGGATTGATGTTTTTGATGATGAGCAAAAACAAGGAAACTACATGTAGGAAAAGACAGAATAAGAAATTAAGCATACTAGATGGAAGTAAATCAAAAGAAAGCTAGTTTCGGCCCTGGAACCAAAATAGTCAGCAAAGATCGTATTCAAATTGCCAAAAGCAAAGCCATATCAATTGTCTGTTCATTTTTCATCATAAATATTCAGTAATTGACGAAAGAACTACAGCACAATTCTCTCTTGAAACACTCTTAAGAATTTCCTTTGACAACCATGTTAAGCGTTTTACCAATAACATACATACCAGAAACATCAGTCAAATGCAATTTATTTAATGACCTATCCTAAACTTAGCAGAATAACTATGAAATAGGCCAGATGGAAAAAAGTGGATGACTTACATGCTGTTTCTTGGCAAATTCATGGCAATCAAATTCTTAAAAACTTCTTCTCTCTCCTTTTTGTGGAAGACAAGAAGGTCATTGCAACCGTCCATGCTAAATATTTCAACTGCAACTGGTCTGAGTTGATAATCACGCTTTAAAATCTCATGTACACTATTTAGCTTCCACATCCGCCAGAGATGAGGCACATTACCACTAGAGTACACCTTTTCCTTTCCCCAAGCACCCCCATTATATGCCCAAGCCCTTCCACCAACATGGGCCTTTACTGTTGCACTCCAGGAGGAAGTTGATTTGGAATAAGAATCCATACTAAGAGAAAAATCTTTCTTCACACCCAATGCCTGGTCAATTACTGAAAGATCATCTTCACTTTCTTTCTCGTATATGCACCCAGAATCATCAACATAGAAGTTCTCAATAACATATAATGACAGCTCTCCGATAAGAAATATGCCATCATGTTTATCAAGACCAACTACTCTTTCACAATTATATTTGTGTTTTATCTTTTCATGAGGTTCCAGATAGGGCCTAATCAAGTATTCACCATTATCATTCAACTCCTTATCTGATTTTTCCTCCAAAACTCTCACTTCATCAATCCTCACTGAAGAAGAATGCCTTGGAGACCCCAGATCTGATTTCCCATGAACACTCTCGGTTCTCGGGATTGAGACAGCACTAGACTTCACACCAAATTCAGCAGCAGAGTAAACACTTGTTTCACATATACTGCTATCCCGATCATCATTCCATCCAGCTCTACTAGAATCCCCGTCTTTTATTGCATCAGATCCTTTAAGAGTCGATTCATCATACAGCTCACCATCAAAAGAGTCCTGTTTTGCATTTCCATTTATAAGATTGAAAAATAAATCTGAGTCATCAGAGACATTAAGTTCATTTTCAGCTCTCTCCTTGGACAGGTCTAAGTCTCCCAACTCAAATTGTCCATGCAACACGTTTTGAATGGTATCAACCTTTGGTTTGCTCTTTTCCAGCTTTTTGCGCATCCTATATGGACCTTCGATGGGGCAAAGTTGCCACTCAGGCTCCCCACTCGTTGAGGATTTGGACACAGGGAAGATTCCTCGTTCATGCACAAGTTGCTGGATATGTGTCTGCCACTCACTTTCAGCATGGAGCACCCATCCATATTTATCTTGGCGGACAACTCTCAACTCTGTAGCCATTGCATCTCTGACCAATTCTAAGGCAATTCTTCGTTCATTCACCTGATCCCAGTGTCTTTGATCTAATTTTGAGTTGTCCTTAGATTTTCGCCCCATTTCTCTTTTACGACGACCATCCATACCCTTTATTCTCACACCAGGAAACTTTGACGAACCAGTAATATATTGTACCCACATAATCATGGCACATTGCTCCAAAACTTTATTTACAACCTGTTCAGAAGCACCAAGCCACTCATAAAATGCAGATAAGTTTCCAGTCAAAATCTTGTCAAACCCTCCCCGCAAAACGTCCAAGTGAAGGCCTTGATTAGGTTTAGAGACAAGCAAGTCCTCAAATGCAGCCCGGCGATGCACCAAAAGGTACTTAAGAATATCAACAGCAATGCTTTGTACATTTTGTCTGTTGTCACGGAGAAGGGATATTAAATTTACACAGAGGCAACAGTTCAGATCAGTATCAAGATTGCTCGGGCAAAATATTATCCGTCGATGAGCAACTAGCAACTGTAAAACTGTACAAATATCAGCGGCTCTATCTTCTGGCGAATTGCTAGGGGACAATCTTTTTTGTTCGATTTGCAAACCTAGGCTTGAGATTAGTTCATCTTCTCCCAAACTGATCAAGAATGAGGGAAGGAAGCAGTATAAGATCATCCGATTCATATTCTTCAATATTGCATGGACGTAGGCATCAAGCTGCCGACTTCCTCTTCCAATTGATAAAATGCCTTTCCCAGTTGGAGTTGCCTCTTCAATCCGACCATCCTTGTTGGCCAATTGTAACATTGATAACAAGAATTCAAGAGTCCTTAAAACATCAGCAGGCCGGGGGAAAGCCCCCATATACACACGATCCACAATCATCCAACATAATGTATCTAAGTTCAACGACCAGCGGTTTTTATCCAACTTTTTCTCATTTTCCTCATCATCACGTACAAGCCGTCTTTCAATAAAGTTCATCAATCTACCCAAGCACAATCCCTGGAAAACTAAAACCGATTCAGCATCAACATATAGAGGAACACTTTCCAATATTGCCTCAATGAGGGGTGCAGATTTTATTTGCTCTGTCACAAAATCAGATAGAACTTCTGCAACAAAATCCAAGATAGCAGTAGCTCCAGCAGAACAAGGACCGCCACCATAACCAGCATCATCCACTTCAAGGATCAGCTTTGGGCTTATCGCAAATAAGGTGTTCACCGTGGATTGTCCTTGAGAACTGGCCTTCAAATCTGATGATGGTTCAAGTTCATTTGTTAAAACAGAATATTCCGTGGGAGTGCCTTTTGATTCAGATTGACTCACAGATCCCAGCCATGAAGTCAATGCTACAATGGGAGTGGAAGAAGGTGTGAAAGAGAATTTAGAACTAGATTTCTCAGATACAGTGGGAGATTCAAATTGAGGCTCTGCCGGGAGAACTTCCTCGTGTGTGCTTTTAGCATCACGAAAAATGAATTCATTACTGCCAGAAGTAGCTGTGGAAACCTGGTCACCCCGCTCAGCATCCGAGATGGGAATGGATTGTGCATCTTCTTGCACAGCTTTCTCCGATTCCTTCTGGGGTCTAGCGATATTTGTCTCTGCTGCATGACCAACCATATTGTTTGGACTAACAAGAACATCTTCAGAACTTGTACTAACCTGACCCTGGGGAAAACTGCCCACACTGATTGAAGTCTTTAAGGACTCTTCTTGATCATGAGGCAAACTTGAGAATGAGTTCTGAGAGCCAGAGCTATCATCACCATCATTTAAATTTTTTTCATCCGAGTTCACGGAAAGATCTTTAGCAATCTTCAATGCATGGGAAGCCCTGTTGAAAAGAGCATTGTGATTTTCAAAAAGCATCAGAAGAATTTAACATGGAAAGATTCAATATAGACAGTATCCATAATTGGAATAAAAATCAAAGTGATTCACCATTCTACTTTAAGAGGAAAATTAATGCAAATTAAAGACTGCCAGAAAACGGAAAGGCTAACAAAGCAAATAAGACAAGTCGAATGAACACCGACCTCACGCAGGAAAAGTAGAGGTCAATACAGCTCTCCATAAATTCAGCTCTTCTACAGACAGCAGAGAAAGGAGGACACATCTTTGCTAAGTCAACCATAAATCTAAGAACCGAAGTAGCAGCAGCAGGTGCGGAAGCCTCTCCACCCATAAGGCGAGCAGCATAAGTTTTGTGCATCAGCGCTTCACCTTGAAGATCCCCACCAATGTCCGTATTTCCTTCCACAAGTTCTGCCACTAACCCGACACCAACTTGGGACAGACTGCCAGTTTGCTGGGCTAGCAAGGACTGCAAAGAGAGCCTATCAAATGTTGACTTTGCCATTGCCACCACAGAATCTAACAATTCTACAAATTTCAACTCCGTGTAGCTTCCATCACTAGGCATAAGGGCATGGAAATCAAGCATTCGAACTTCTGGCAATCTAGGATACACGGGCTTGCCAAATATCAGACAAAACAGAATATAGTAAATATCAGGGGAGTCGTAGAAACTGGGAAGCACCCTTGCCAAACCTTGATATCCCCCACTTGAACGAAATTTGAGCGCGAATGTGGCAGAAGAAGTAAGACACACTCCCAGAAGAGTCATAATCCATCTCATGCTTGTAGGATGAACAGCTTCATCGAGAAAGTAAGTTATCAATTTCGATGAAACAATTTTGTGCCATTGCTCAAGCAACTCCTCTGATTTGATGGTCACCTGTAGGTCAATTATCATCTCGAGAAGCATATTTCTTACAATAATATGCTTCCCCATTGCCTCCCGAGTTATATGATGACGTGAGGTCAGCTCTGGAGGATCAAATGTCATGATAGTGAACCTAACCACGTGTTCTAATTCAGACGGCAGAAATCCATCTTCTAAAATGACCCCTAGTAGGATGACCAACTTCTCCAGCACTGGCACTTCAACATCACCCCTTTGAAGAGTTACGAGTAGATGTTGAACAAGATTGATCCTTCGGAGAATTGTGAGATTATGGTTCCTATACCAATGCATGGAGACAAGATGCTCAAGAAAGCCCAACAGCGCAATTTGAATGGGAATGGGAGCTGTTACCCAGAGCGTCCAGTCCAACAAGACATGCTCAACCATGTCAGGGTTGGACAAGACCATACAATTGGATGTTTCACAGGATATTTCAGAGGTTTCAAGCTCTGAAACTTGACTGAATGAATCTTTTTGCACAGAAAAGTCGTCCATATCTCCATGAGAATCAGCAGATGAATACTCATCTCGGAATTTTGCCAAATTAAGCTCCTCAAAGTTGGACTCCTGATGGGATAAAGCTGGTGACAGACTATTGCGAGTCTTATCAACTTTCTTAGGCTCAGAAAAAGATGCTTCACAGGCAGCAATTTGGAAAAAGATTTCAAGTGATTGCATGTCAAACAGAGACATCCTCCGGTGCATAAAGAGAGCAAGCAAGTGGTATCCCCGGTATTTCTGCATATCTCTCACATTCTGAGGATTCTGATGAAGCGCACTGGCGAGTAATGTCAAGGCCATGTGCAACATATCCCTTGTTTCAGAAGCTTCAACAAGGGCAAGCACGACTGCCATTCCACCAATTGGTCGAATAGTGTCACCAATCACACACTGTTTACAAACATATACGTCACCAAGAAGCCGCCCAAAACGTGGTATCCCTGAGAAAATTCCAAAGAAATATATTCACCAGCAATGCAAGAGAGTCCCAAATATACTTCTTTATGTTAGATACGTTCACAAATTAAACACAGAAAGTAGGTTAACGGTTAACTTACCGCCAATAGGAGAAGCTGCAGCTGACATTGGATCTACAAGATTGAGCAATGAAGAAGTTCCAGCTGCACGCTGTAGTTCTGTACTAGTACCATCAAATGCAAATATCAGCTTCTTACCCAATAGTTGCAGAGACAGGCTCGCTAATTTCTCCGAATCCCAAACAAACCCACTACGATCTGCCTTTGAGCTACCTAGCTTGCCCACAGTCTCAGGCTTTTGAGTGCTGGAAGAAAGAGGTAACTCAGTGTCTAAAGCATCTAAAATTGCCATACTTCCTCCACCACAAGCTTGATTTGGAACAAACTGCAAGAGATCCGTGTCTTGAAAAAGGCCCTTATAACCTCTCCCAAGAATGTACATGAAACAGATGGAACCTGGTGACAGCACTTCTTCCACTAGATAGCAAGATCTGAGCTTCCAGGATAAAGCACTCACTCTACCACAAGAGGCCGGTGTGCCAATCGCTACATGAAGAGATTTTCCTGGAGGTGACGGAGAATATCCTAATTTTCCTGTATGCCTAAGCTTCCCATTCAGATACACATGGGCAAAACTAGCTTGGAAAAGCCCAGCCAAAGCGTTTGGTTTACTGTGCACAACTGCAAGGTGATGCCATCGACCTTCCACCAATTCTAAACCAGAGAATGTTAAAGAGGAAGAGTTGCTAGTGGCAAGAGTCAGAATACCATCCTCATCAAGACGAAGTTCTGCATAAAAAGTGTTTCCAGTATCTGAGGCCCCAACAGAAAATAATCGCAGAAAGTTCGAACCACTAGTCCCATTCTGCTTTCTGGAAGATCCAGATCTGGAAGCTTCTGTCTCCTTCAATGGTGATCTTAAGAAATTTTTAAACTGAAACCAACATACAAAAGAATAACCAGCAGCAGGAGGCCAAGATCTTTCCCCTAGTGGCACTTGAATAGAAGCGTGGCCCAGCTTGCTCATATCCATCTCTACAAATGGTGCTAAAGAAACATTTTCCGAATCCATGTCCTCCATGAGAACTAATTTTTCCATCATGTCAACAAGGAAACGACCACCACTAGCCAATCTCGTTTGCAGAATGTACCTCACTAGCAACCTAAGTTCCGAAGTTGACAACCTAACAAGAAAAAAATGACATTAGACCGTAAAATTCCAACAGATGTTTCACAAACGTAATTTAATTATTAACATGTCCTTACTTGTATGCCCCAAGAACTTGCACAATCTTCAACGCATGAGATAGCAAAGATGACGATCCCGACATGAAGGGGCATATTATCTCCAGAAGAAGTTCAACACAACCTGAAAATTCATAGCAAATCCTAACAGCATTCCCCAATAAGAATAAAACTAGAAAAACAAAGAAAATAAATTTGATTTCGCACCTACAGATGTAAGATTTTCCTGGTTGAAAGAACTAGCACGGGCAAGCTTTTCAATAATGTTTAGTACTTCAAGCTGCATCTTTGGAGTAAAGAGTAGTAACGATCGTATCAACACCCTAACAGCCCCAGCATTATACACCCGTTCCTTCTCAGGAAGAGAATAACCTGACGGAGTATATAAAAGGGAACTAACAGTCCCATTTTCACTGATATGAGATGTTGCAACAGCTTCAGAAGATAAGAACGGAGGAAGTACTACTTCAAGAGCAAGCTCCAGCAACAACTGTATTACTAGTCTTTCACACTCAACACAAATCAACCCAGACTCAGAAAGAAGATCAAAAAAGGTTTGGGAAGATATAATCGTATGCAGCTTTACCCTGTTGACAGCATTATCACAAACACCAGCTGTCATGACTCGCAACAAATATGTAAACACCTTCACATAGACCATTAGTGAGGACTCATTTACATGCCCATCATCATTCTGAAACTGGTGAAGAGTGGTCAGCAAAAGAGAAAAGCCAGTTGCTTCACCAAAAACCCTCTGAGCAGAATTATTCACTCCTAGAATCCTCCATAATGCTCCAAAAGCATCACATTTTGCATCATCTTGTAGCTTGTATTGAGAACCTGAAGCACTTGTGACCATTCCACTCTTTAGAACTTCAACCATAGCTCCGAGCTCTTCAGGATGCACCTTTTATTTCAAAGCCCAATAAAGATCATTTAGATACCAGAAGTTTCACACAAGTAAGGATATTTTAAACAAAACCTGTTTAGAAAAATATGCAAAGAAGTTATCGCAGTATCTCTCGACCAAATTACCTGTTTAGTACTCCCCTCTGTCCCAAAATGATTGTCCAGTTTGGATTTTCGCTTCGAGTACAATTTGAACTAAAAATGGAATGCAAACTGGACAATCATTTCGAGACGGCGGGAGTGAAACAAGCTTACAAAGTAAATAACTTTCTTGAAATATCATGAGAAACAAGAATACAATCTTATCTCTTACTCACAAATGTGAATCATATTTCACCGTCAAACATCTTCAAATGTTCTTGGAATTGACCTTGTGCATTAAGATAGAACACGTGCACAAAAATTTCTTTTCTTTTAGGGCATGGGCGGGAAGTCTCAGAAGAGCTAAAGCATATCTAGCAGGCTCAAACACTAATGAAAAATGAGGTGCTAAACTATAAAAGTAGCAAGCTAAAGTAATACAAATCGAGAATTATGGGTCGACGCTTCTAAAGCATAATTTTAAGTGTCACAAAGAAAAGAAAACGAGAGTAAATGACCAGGATCTACCAACGGTTCGATAATTTACAGTCATCTGACAAGTTCAATTATCAGATATATATAAAAGGGTACATAAGCTGTTAACACCAAAAGGAGGTATATTGGCAAGTCACCAAACTTAGGTAAGAAAGCAAACAACGAAAACAAGAAAGGACAAAAGTTGCAAACCTGTGCAGAATCTTCTATTATCAAACATGACAACACCCGAAGAACGCCAGGACGATGACTATCAGATGCAAGAAAAGGAAGGATAAAGTGAACCCCACCAGAACTCCGAAATGATGATTGATTAGCTTCAGCTTTCCTCAGTAAGGAGACCAAACAATCCCATGCAACCGAAGTAGTTCCCTCTATTTCGAAAAGAGGCAATTTTCCTGAACCAGATTCCAACAGTTTGGGTGACGACAGAATGGCATCCTTGTTGTCCAGATGTTTCTTGAAACTGCTTGAACTAGATTTTCTTTCCAACTGATTAAGATCGCTTTTTTGCTGATCTGGTCCTAACAGTAACTTGTGCTGCTTAAGATCATCCAACAGCACCTCAAGCACACCAACCTCCCTTAGTACTTTTTTGTATTGCTGATCGAAGGATAAAAGCTTTACAAAGAAAGATAGAATCGTGTGCTTCAATTCGGATGTTATTGGCTGCTGGAGTAAACAGCACAAAGAAAGTAGCTCTTGATCAGGAATGCAATTTACAACAGTAACAGCATATTCAAGAATTTTCAAAATAATTTCATGCAAAGAGGGAGGAAACCCAGCCATGTTAAGGATCAAGAGGGGCACTGTCCGCAACTGCTGACACAACTTGTAATTTTCAATGTGACTCGAGAATATCTTAAACATCCTATTCAATACTTCTTCCTGCAATTTCCTACTATCTGCTTTGAGAAAAATATCCTGAAACATTTGAACAGCTTCTAGATCCTTAATTTTATCATTATCCTTTTCCCAAAGTTCATCGCTGATTCTGTCAGATGATGAGGTACGACTCCTTCCATGCCCAGTAGGTTTCCCGTGAGACATTCTAGAAATTTTTGACCCAGATGATCCAGATACCTCTGCTTGACCAGCCTGAGCTAGACTAACAAGAACATCAAGAAACCTCGAGAGTATAGGAGAGACTTCAGATCCTTCTTGACCAAAATTCTTCCCCTCAACAGAATTATCTGAGTAAAGATGATCTGAAACAGGCTCATGATCAGGAATAGAATTTGGACTCGATGGTTTACCACCTATATCTTTCGACAAAATCAATGCAAACTGGACCAGATATTGATAACCGTGGGCATTGTGGATATCCTCTCTCAGCCTAATACCACCAGCCTCTGCAAATCAAAATGAATAGCATCAGCCTAAAGCAAGGTTAATGAGGAAGCCTAGTGGTGTGAAAATTTAAATGTCCTAATTAGTTCATGTATTGTAATTGATGAAAGGGATAGGTCAATTATTTTATAAATTTACACTGGAGTTGCCGATCCGCTCACTACAGAAATTCAAAAACATCATTATGGAGGGGTAAAAAGGGTCTTGCTATTAACAAATGTCTGACACCTGTTGGGAAAAACAAAATCCAATTACCTGGTCTATATGACAATTCAACACATTCAAGAAGCAAATCCACGATGCCCATCGTGTAGGCAGAATCACCACAATCAGGGCTAAAATCCTTAACAGCCATCAGAAGTACTTTAATCTGGAAGAAAAGAAAGAAAGCAATGATAAATTTGGTCCAATGGAGAAGCCAATAGGTGAAATATTAGAAAATAGGGCTGAGAGAAGCAAAAAAGTGAAAGGGAGGAGAAGACAGAGGATCTTTGAAACAAAAAGATCAACGGAAAAAAAAAAGTATGGGAATACCAGATGATGCTTCCTTATGTATTTAGCAGTGCTGCCATTGTCATTAACCAGGAGAAGACTGAGTATCTGTAAAAGGAAATGTTATATGATCAAGAAGCAGAAATCTAACCATTTCTAATCCCATAAAATCAGCCAAGAAACAAAGAATCGATTACCTGCATAGCATGTCTGTGAAGCTGTATGGTATGCAATGAAACTTGCCCTTCCTTGTATTGCATGAAAACAACAAGGGAACCATTGGCAACCATTTGAAAAAGTAATTCAAGTGAATTGTCCTCAATCAAACTTTGTGCAGCTGATGGATGGCTGGCCAAAGCTTTCATAATATGGACAACACTCCCTTCCACCTGCAACGGCAGCAACTGTTTCAAAATTGTTCAAGAAAAAACAAAACAATTCCAATATTTTTCACGTTGGAAAGAAAAAGGTATCCTTCAAGAAATCCAGAATACAATGACCTCCTGACAGAATGCAGGAAACTGGGAGTATGACAAAGATAAAAACAAAGGAAAAAGTTACCTCAAGCCGTCGACCAGAACCATTTCCTTTATCTCCAGATGTCTCTGCTAACAATGGTTCCTGATGATTGAGAACCTTTTGTCTGTGGTTTCCACCAGCAGGAGAAAGAAGAGCATTCAGAACATGGATAAGACAGCACAGGATACCAGAGTCCAGAAGTGATTGTTTATCAATAGGCTGCATACACAAACCAAAGTTCAAGCAAATAAAACCTAGGAATAAAGAAGTAACTGTCTGACTGGTAAGGGAATGGACGAACCCCAGTTACAAGGACTTCCACAGCTTGCAACAAGTTTGCACCAGGACAAATGTCGTCCTGTACAGAGTTTTAAGCAGATGTCAACAAATGCTCAACAGACCTTTCATTTAGAGAAAAAGAAAATCGCAAAGAGATAAAAGAAGAACCTGTATCGCTTCAGAAAAGAAGTTTAAAACTCTACCAACTTCCAAAGATCTTGTTTTGCTGCTAATTTTCAACTTTTCGATATCAGTTACAAATGCTCTTCCCACAACAAATGAAAATATGTGTGTTTCTACCAGCCTGTGACACAACAGTTTAGCCGTTGTTATTCAAGATGCAAACCAGTCAAGGAACCTAAGATATCGATGACATAAGAATAGCAGAATAATCCATGACATTTTACCACAGAACAAGTGGTCAACATGGAAAATCAGAATCCCAGATACTAATAAGATTGAAGCGAAGTGATATCTCAAATTAAAGCATCCCAATATAACAGCAAAGCACCAAAATATTTCCCTCCTAATCTTTTCCATATCCTAAAAAAAGGTGGAGGGAATTTAATAAGAATAGGAACATGATAAAGTCTACGACCTTGAAATTTGACTTCAAACATAGAGCAAACTGGGAATCTATCAAAGTAATATGGAGAAAAGGAAAGCATAATATAAGTGCAAAGAAGGTTCAGGAGAAGCAAAATACAATTAAAAACAGGATACAAAGAGCAAGGAACAGTATCAACATACATTGTAATAAGCTGAGCTACATTTGTATGCTGCTTCACTAATCTACAGAATACATCAACTGTCAGATTCAGGGCCTTTTCCTTCTCCTGCGTTGACAGAGAACCAGCAATCAGTCATGTTGTAATCTCTAAAGGTATATCAAATAAACAAGGGAATAAGCCTTCGCCGAAGAATCAGAAACCTTTTCAGAATTTGAAGATCGGAACTCTTCCCAGTATCTTTTAAAATCCAACTCCAATTCATATTGGTCTCTGCAATCAAGAGCAAAAAATTGTTCAAATAAAGAAGTGGTCTCTTCATTTTAAAGATATACAAGCTGCAAAACACGAAAATAGAATTAGAGGGATACTTCTGACTTTGTGTCACTATAACAAACTAAAAAGGGTAGTTTATCACGTGTTTTGCCTTTTATCCACTAATGCTATTAAATTGCAGGTTCATGTTATAACACAAACAACAAAACCCTAGTCCAAAGCTATAGCCAGTCTATCAACTAAAGATTACTTACTAAAACTGCCTTCATACTTACTCCTTTTCACCTGTTACATGTGATTTCCTGATTACCTAACCTCGCCTTCCTAATTCATTCAAGTTAAATATCAGACTTCAACTTTGATCTCATTCAAGAAGTTAAGAATAACTGCTAAGGTCAGAATAAAGTAATGACGGCCAGCACTAAGCACCAAATTACGTGGAGAAATGCACAGGCATCCTGGAACCTACCACTCAACCATAAAACAAAGAAAGATAGAGCTTCCAGTCAGCCGAAATCCAAGTCTAAATAGAATTCAAATGAAACTTGCCATTTACACCTTTGATGTTTCTTTCTCAAGCTACTTCATAAACCTACTTCGAATGAAACAAGCTTCAGGAAACTATAATTTACTTTCCGTAGTCTCATTGTGCGAACAACGGATGGAGTGAAATTGTAACATCCGATGGATGAGCAGACAAATTGTTGAAATTATCTCTCACCTTCTAACCACTGAACATAAACTTTTACTTACAGGCTTAAACCGCAGTTTATTTCCAGCGTCTCACCCCTAAGTTGTAAAATTAAACAAATTTTCCTTTAATTCATCCTAACAGATGTGATGATTCCTACTTGATGCCACAAATACAAGAGCTGAGAGTACCAATTTCTTTTCCATTCACCTTTATGTTTTATACAACATTCAATTTTCTTCAATTACAAACGGAACTCATCAAAGTATCAGCAAAACGAATGTAGACGATCAACTTAAATTTAATCGCGAGAAATAATAAAACTAAAAACAGCAACCAAAACCAGGGGAAAAAAACAGATAAAATTACAAATGAACTGCTGCTGGTATTGCTGAAATAGTAAAGAACAAAAAAAAAAAAACGGAAAATGAAGAAACCTGGAAGGTGATGACGCGAACTCTTGGTTTGATGAAGACGCATTGTTGTAATCAAAGAACGGAGACGAGGCAGGAGAAGGAGAAGAGGAGGAGGCAGCAGAAGAGGTCTGGGAAAAACCTACCTTGTCTCTTAAGTCTTTAAGCAATGTTGCCCATTTCATCGTCGATTTCCTGTGAAACATGTACTACAATCTCCTTTCCTCTTTCATCCGAAACAGCTCTTTATCGATCTAATACCCCCTCCGGAAATCCCCTTCTAGACCTCTCTCGCTCTAGAAAGGATCCCTTCAGCTCACCAAACTCCCCAAATTTTCCACCTCCCCAAAAAAAAAAAAAAAAATCACAATCCCAAATTTCTTACAGAAATTTTCGTGGTACCTAAATTGATAAAACCGGGAGGTTTAACTTAAAAACATTTAAGAGCTGAATAATAAAATTGGAATAATGTGATCGGCGGGGAAGATAGGTAGATAGATTGATTGAGCTGATCAATCGGAGTAAATTAGGGGGAAATAAATATAGAAGTATAAGATCTGAATCAAAATGAAGCGTTTCAAATTTTGAATTAAGAGGAAAAAAATGGATATAACTTGGTTTTTTGTTGTAATTTTTGCTGCTGATCTGGCTGGGAAATTGTACTAGTAGGGTAGAGTTTCCTTTTCGGCTTTTCCTTTTCCCTTTTTTATTTTTTTCCCCTAATTCTGAGATTTTCGAGGAAGGAAGTCTATCATTATTGTTTGGGATTGTTTTTTGCCCTTGAGAATTGGAAGAGTTTTTCAGAAGGAGAACAAAAATAAAACCAAAGGCAAAAGGAAAAGGTTTTTTGAAACTTCTTCTTTTTTCTTTTTTTTTTTGCAGCGCCTCTGTTTTTCTTTTGCTTTCTTTTTCTTTCAATTTATATAATAATTATGATGATTTTCTACTACGACTACTGCGGGGCTTTCTTTTTTTTCGGACGGCCACTCCGCGCCTTGTTTCTCGCTCTATATCTTTTCTGTTTTTTTTTTTCTCTATCTTCAAATTTTTTAAAAAATATAAAAAGATTATACAAAGAGAAAAAACTATTTTTGATTTTTTATTTTTGGATTTGGACAAAGTGCTATATCGTTAAACCCTTTCCTTTTTCCCTCTTAAAACTCAACATTACAACCACGTCAGCTTTTTGTGGGATCCCCGACTCTCGGGTCTCCACGTGGATTCTTACCATGTTCAAAGACGTGATGGCCTCTTTCTTTCCTTTGTGCCTCAATTACAGATATCTCCCCTCGTACTTGAGGAAATTTTGAATTGCCCCCAACATTTAAATCATCATTTTCTCATTCATAATTTAACTTTTTTTTAGATTGGATAATTCAGTGCAATTATATATCAATAGTTAATTTACACATTAATCCCTCCGTCCCATAATTATTGTCCAATTTGGATTTTCATTTTTAGTTCAAATTATACTAAAAGTAAGATCTCGAACTGGTCAATAATTTTGGGACAAAGGGAGTATCTTTGATTAACTATCCACCAGATCAATCTTTAGAGGACTTCAATATCTTTCAAGTTGGATGTTGAATGACATGAAATTGGTTTACGTAGTGTGAATGGTGCTATTCACATATTGATTTTTCTTTTTCATTTTTATTCTTGTTGATTTTTCTTTTTCTTTTTATCTTTGATTGACTTTTGCACCAAAGTCCATTATATAAGCCACTTTCATTTTTGTGAGCATTGCTTTTTTGGATGTGCGGGAGGATCATTGTCGAATCCTGGAAAAAAGAAAAAAAAAAGGTTTTTTTTTGTATTCGGTAAAGACTAGTAGCTATAAACTTTTTCTCTTTTGTTATTTATTTAGTTATTTGTTTATTTATTATTGATTAGTAGTTGTGTTTAATGGCGTTATTTACTATTTTACTGATGTATCCCCTTGTATTAAATTAACCGATATCACGACATCAGGGTAGACTTAGTAGAGTTCTCCTGCCTACTTGTCTGATCAATACCGAATGCTTTGACGTTTACTAGTATGCTTTCAAGTTACTCAAGTTGAATGTAGCTTGGTTTTTTTCTTTTTTTTTTTAAAAAAAAAATTTGGGTACAATGAAAGACATTTAAGAAAAGACAAAAAAAAAAAAAAGGTCGACGTGGACATGGATGTACTCCCCATTTGTACGTCTTTTCTGATTAAGTATTCTTATTTTTGAAGTTGTCCAACTACGGGAAAAAAAAATTTACTTGGGTCTTTCGTGATTTTAACATTAAATGCTTATCTAAGTTAGAGTTAATTATTTAGATAAAAGTATTTTCCTCTCACAATGAGAAGAGTGTCAAGAAATTAATATTTTTCGCGATTGAAATATTTATTTCTCTCCTATTATTGTTGTTAATTTAAATTTTACATAGCATGTTAAAAAGGCCTAAATAATTACTCCATTTTATAAGCGTGATTTAACTTTTTCCCAAAAACAAAAGGGAATGTTTTTCAACATTTTGTTACTTAACTCATGTGTAATATGGGGAAAAAAAACAGAGAGAATCCTCATCTTCAATTTATAAAAATGAAAAAAAAAAACTTATAAATGGTGGGAAAAACGTAGAGATCGAAACAAGCACGATAAAAGGTATGCCATTTTTCTCTTCTTTTTTTTTTCATTAAGGTCAGCAATATAAAGTATATGTTGCTATTGTATTCCATCAACATATACATTTTTCATTTAAACGTTTTTGTGTCTTTTTTGTTAATTTATTTTTCGATTTTTATTAGGGCTTCCCCCATCTCCAAATTCCATTTGTATATCACACCATGGAAACCTTCGTCATGCATAGCACAACGTTGCTAGAAATGCCAGCTCTAATAGGAGAAAATAGAAATCTAACGCGGGGGTTTGGGGTTGGAGTTTATCAATTTATCATAAAAGAAAGTGGGGCGGGCAATGGAACACTAATTAGTATGAGGATTTGGGTGATCATTTTGATCGGGTCAAATTACATGTAGAAGTACTCGTTTTTTGGTTTTTCTGCTTGATTGACATTGGGTAAAGGAACTAATGTACATTAAACTATAATTTTTTTAATCTGATGCAAGCATTTTTCATCAGGTAAATGACAAGAGTTCTATACCTAATACCCGTGCTCCATGGTGTTTGAATTAAGAAGACTAATCTTAATCTGAACTCTTCGTCTGGTGGCTATAATTTTTTAACTAATTATTGAATCAGTTCATAAAATGTTCATATTTGAATTTTCTTCCCTCGTGAATTTCTTATTTCACCACCATATGATCTAATCATCCAATTGTTGTGAACTTTTCAATTCTTCCGACTATATAATTTTCAGAGATAATGTTAGAAACGCCCATCATTTGAGGCTAATGTTGGGAGTGAACTTGAAGTTTCATTGCAAGTTTATTAAATTTAACAAAACAAAACATCGAGTGATATATTCCCTTAAAGATAAGTACACACTGTATCTGTGAATTATATAATTATCAATAAATATAAAAAACCAGAACAACAATATCAATTTATTTCAGGATATTTTGGGAAATCAATAAATCAACTGCTAAAAAGTTTGCATGTGATATTCTCCTTCCACATGAACCGTCAGTATTCAGTAGTAGTAGGCAAAAAAAAAAGTGGTATTTTGTCATAATTTTATTCTTATTTAGTACTTTTTCGGGGCTCAGCCAAAAGGATATTGGCTTGTAAAAAATACTTTATTTTATTTTTTAAAAAAGAGATCTTAAACATACTCTCTCCGTCCCAAAATTATTATCTCATTTGGATTTCTAGTTTTAGTTCAAACGGTACTAAAAATGAAAATTTAAATTGGACTATAATTATAAGAAGGAAGAAATAGTAGAAGTACTATTATATAGACGTCAATTTAAAGAAAAAGGGAATTAATTAATAAGTGAGATCTAGGATTGTTCATAGGATTCAGCCGTGTAGACTGTAGCAAAAACATCAATCTGACTGCGGGCCCACGCGTTTCTATCTGGATTTTGAGACCTTGTCCCAGCCGTGAGTTGCGGGGTAATGAATTGAAGCCTTTCCCTAACTTTTTGGTTAATAAAAATTTTGTCTTACCCCTGTGTTTTTGATAAATATTATATCTACTACCTTATGTCCAGTATCGATTCATTTTGCTAATTTGCTCCATCTTATTTTCATGGCCAAGAAACAAAATCAAGATGTTTGGATGCACGTATTTGATATCACAAGTATTCTTCTAGGCTTTACAACATGTATTGCTAACTTTTACGTATTGCCTCGAATCCCACAATAAAGCAATAAAAATAGGGGAAATGTGAATAAATTTGACCGTGTTTACCTAATTTGATTATATTATACTTTTAACACGTCTATAATCGTTTTCAAAAAAAAAAAAAAAAACACGTCTATAACCATATGGCTTAACAAAATGACTGTGTAGATTATCTTTTGTTGTTGGATACACATCTCATTTATGTTGCACATAAAAGCATTCGAATTTCACAAATTATAGCTCAAATAATTGCTAAGGATTATTAAACAAAAAAATAATTAAAGATTATATATCCCCCCACATCTAAAGTATAACTGAGAGAAAGTCACTTTTATGTGAAACTTTAGAAGTAAAAACCAGTGACTCCACAATGGTAATCAAACAATGATGCTTAACCTGTCTCTTTTATTTATAGCTTTTTTTTTCTTTGTAATTTTTTTTTCAAGTACCATTATAGTAGGACTTTTACTTTTTAATTAATATAGGTAATTATATGTTCAACTAAAAAAAAAAAAAAAGAAAACGAAAACGAAAACTTATGAGTTGTCTTGTTTTGAAAAAAAAAGAAGAAAAACTTATGCTATGGTTTGGTTACCTCCTTCGTCGACGATTTTTAAAACTATACAAAAATTTAAGCACATCACAAATTATTATCTATTTCATGTTTTAAGAGACCATTTTAAATTTATCATTTCTCAGTATTATTATCAATATACTTCGGTACTTACATTTTGTTGAGACACCAAGAATTACTTATTGATACAGTAACACATCTCTAAACTAATAGTGATAAGACCTCAAAAGATTATTAATTCATAGATGTGTTAATTTTTTTAATAAATTAATAATTAATAATTCATTGATAAATTAATAATTAATAATTAAAATCTTGTAAATAGTATCACTAAAAATTTGATAAAAAGATGAAAATGATAATCATTAAATGTCTTCAAAACCAATTACAATTCGTACAAACAAAAACACGTAATGTGGTATTAACATTCTGAAACTTTTTGGTAACGGTGCATGAAAATTACAGACTTGAACTTTTGAATGCAAGGGGGAAAAAAGAAATATATTTATATATAAATTTAAGCAAAAAATAAACATTACTAAATTCATATTTTACTAGTTCAATTTTTTTTCAAAAAAAATTTCAATAATTATTAACGTATGATGTTAACATAAATAGGAGTTATTTGAAAAATAATTGTTTTATTATTTAATCGATTACTTTTGCTTCTTTTTTTTTTTTGTACTGATCAGACTTACGACTGGAGAAAATAATTAATTTACAGATGTTATTAATTTATAAATTATAGAGACCATAGAAAATTATTAATTTATAAATACCGTTAGTTTTTGAATATGAATTTATAGATGTTCTACCGGACGTTAGGGGTGTCCAAAAAAAACCGACACCAATTAGGCGAACCGAAAACTGACATAAAACTGAGCCGATTAACCGAACAATCGGTTAATAGTTCTCGGTTAAACTGTTTTTGTCGGTTAATTGATTCGGTTTTCGGTTTTGCTTATACCTTTCTCGGTTAAACCGAATAACTTATTATAATAATTAAAATTTATAAATCTAAAAAAATTTTCTATGTTTCATATCTCTATGTCATTAATCTTTTTCATATTGTCAATTTATTTCACTAAAAAATTTTGTTGTAATAGGTTGAATAGACTATTATAAAAAAAAGATTTTGATTGTTTTTATTGTAGATTGAGAGTTTAAAAAAGAGTTTCATTATTTGATGGTCTTAAAATATGATATGAATTATATAAATTAGTAGAACAAAATTTAAAAGTAAAGCTAAACATCAATTATATTTTGTTCGAAAATATATGAAAAATATTATCGGTTAAACCGGTATAAACTGGTAATTAAACCAAAAACCGATAAACTGAAACTGTTAAATCGATGACTTAATCGGTTGGTTAATCGGTTTTATCTAATATTGACAAAACCAGAATTAACCGAAACCATTAACCGGTAAACTGGCTAACCGGTCGGTTGAACACCCCTATCGGACGTATCAAAAATTAAAAATTAAGAACCATGACCACGTGTGTCAATCATGGTCAAGTTGCTCATATGCTTGTGTGTGGAACTACATTTATCACCGAACATTAGTCGGTTTAAAAAAAAATTATAAAAATTACTTTTTTCGTACTAAGAAAATAGTCCAAAATAGAACGCGTATAAAAAATACATATAATGTAAAGTTGATGATTATCTAAATAGTCAATTTAGTTGATTCTCTATAATTTTTTTTTTTTATTTTTTTAGAGAAAAATGATTTTTGGAGGAATCCTTAGGTACAATGTTTCCCATTTCTTTGATCACTTGTTTGACCAGTCAAGGGAGATGATTCTAGTTTCACAAACTTTGAGGGGTAAACATGTATTTTTACTCAAACTTGGGGATTTCCGGTGATTAATCAAAACATTATTGCACGGGTAAGTTTGTTGACAACGGTGACGGGACGCCGCCTGAAAAAGAGAAATCCTCAACCCCGCGGTCCAGCTGCGGATGCTTAAAACTTAAAGTCGAGAAAAAATGTCGTCGTCATCTCCGCCGTCGATATCTATTTTGGAAAAGACGCCCACGGACGAAGAATTCGTTACCCAGATAGAACCTCGGAAGGTTCCCGCGGTAACGACCTGCGTTACCATTCTTATAAGATTGTGCATAGAGTTACATAAAGATAGAATGAGTTCGAAGTTGTTATCGCACTGTCATCTTATTCTGAAACACGTGGTAATGTCTTGAAACAGGTTTTTAGCGGGTGTATTAAGAATTGGAAAGCTTTTTTGGACTGGAATCCCGCAAATGGTGGTCTCGATTATCTGAAGGTTGTTGCCAAAATTGTTACTTAATTATGTGAGAAGTGATTTATAAGTTTTTTTCCAGTTGTTTAGATTATGTTTTGAAATGTTTTTGGGAATCCGTTAAAAAAGCTGATATGAATGTGTGTTTGAAACATGTAAATGCTGTAAATGCTGTTAGTCTCAGTTGTACAGTGAATGATATTCACACTTGAGCAAATTCATTTATTTTCTTTAAATAGATGTTGCCAACATCACGCCAATCATCCTTGCACAAAACTTTGATTGTTGTTGTTTATTTTTGAATCTGTTTTGTTAGTTCGATGAGATTAAAAGATTGAAGGGTCTCGACGAGTAATGTGTTTTTTTTTTTGTTTTTTTTTAAGCTTGTCAGTAATTTTGAGTTTTTGACTAATGTTACACAACATTTGTGATTAGAGGGTTTTGGAATGATGCAATACTTCTTACCTGTGCTTGGCACTTTGTTGTTTTTAATGATTCATATTCTGTGGACATTATATGTAATTCAAACTTTCTTTTCTGTTCTGACAGAGGCAGTCTCAAAATATAAATGATGTCATGTAATTGCTAAACTGTATTGTAATACATTGCGGCACCCATGATGCATTGTGCATCTCATGGAACTGACTTGTTTCTAATGTGACTAGGAAAAGGTCGGATTATCAACTGTTGAGGCGATGCTTTCTCCGCAAGCACCAATCTTTTATGGAGATATCAGGAGTCATGAAAGGGTAATTCCATCTAGTTCTTTACATAAAGAAATTAAGAAATATGCAATAGGATCTGTCTTCAGTTTACTGAATGTATTTCTAAAATATTTAGGTTTCAGTGTCATTTTCTACATTTATTGGACATTGCAAGGCTGTGTTGAAAGAGAGATGTGTTGCTGAGGATGGTAGTTCCGATTCAAGGAAGCCTATACTGGCTGACATCCCAACTGATCAGAGTGATTTGCAGGGGCAGATTTATCTTGCACAGGTTTCAGTTTTTGTAGAAATTACACTGAAAATTACTGAGACTTGGAAAAATGAAATTGAATATCATAATTTCATTTCGTATAGTTACTTCTATAGTTTCTTATAGCTTTTCTCATAGAAATTGAATTTTGAAGTGTCTCATCTTTTGAATTTTGAAGTGATGGTTTCCATCTTTTTGATCCACCGTGTTCATCTTGCGAAGTTATCTTACTGTAACTCTCGTCAGACTTGTATCTCGATCACTGGATTGTTTGAGGTCTTACCTGTATAATCTGATTGAGTAAACTAATTCTAATTCATTTTATGTATGTGTTTTGTTGACGACATTTTTATGTTGAAACTAACTTAATGATGATTTAACGTGCTACATAACCAGTCAAGGTATAAAAATTTTAAGAGATTACTTGAAGGATCCTTACCATCAAATATTGACATTTCTGTGTTAATTCAAGCAAGAAAGTTTTGGCCGGTTTATAATTTGGAGATTTACCTGGCACTGAAGTGTACTATTTTTTTTGTTTTTTATCATCTAGGTGCCTATTGTGAATGTTGATTGCGAAGAGAAGGTTCAGTTGAATTGTCTGAAAGAAGACATTGAAGCTGTATGTTCCTTACATTCTGCATATTCCATTCATTTTTAATTAATTTGGGAGTATCAAAGATATCTCATGTTCATTTTATTCCAGTCTATCTCTGATAAATATTTTAACTTTTACAGCCTCCATTTCTGGCTTCTAAGACCTTGGCATCAGTCAACTTGTGGATGAATAGTACTCAAAGTAGATCAAGCACTCACTATGATCCGCATCACAATCTTTTATGCATTGTCTCGGGATGTAAACAAGGTTGGCATTGTATATTTTTGCATTATGTCTTAAGGTTTTGATAGGTTTTTGGGCGTCTGTTGCTGTTTATCCATTATTCTTGGTCCTCTCCTTACGCCCTGGGAATTTAAGCATATACATACAGCAGACTCCTCTGGTCTATTTTTTTACTAATGCCTCAGGCAGAAGTTTAAATTTAAAGGAGGGAGGTCAAACTAATTGGAGGGTTTGTTGGTTTTGAAAGAAGCTTTATCTTACACAAAAGGTTTGAATGCAGAATCTGCAGCAATGGGCAATAAAATAGTCTTTCCATGTTTCCATCCCATTTCATGATACTATTATCCACGTCTGATTTTATGGAGCAGATTGGTAGAATAACAATGTATTCTTTGGTGAGAAGCTAAAAAGCATCATCTATGTCAATGCGTGTGACAGTTAATTTAAGAGTGCTTCTGCTCTTGATTTGGGGCAGGCCTTAGCCTCAGCTGATTAAGTAATGAACAGAGAAAAGAATGCTTAACTTTTGTCTGGAGAATGAAAACATGCTTATCGTCCTAACTAGTATGCCTACTAATGCTGGGCGAAGTATTAAGCTTTTCAAATCTCTAAGTTGTGATTTGGCCCTTCTTATCCCCTGGATGATTTTTTTGTTTCTAATTTGATTTGATGTCAGTTGTGTTGTGGCCACCTTCTGCAAGTCCCTTTCTGTATCCATTGCCAATCTATGGTGAAGCCTCAAATCACTGGTATGGTTGATTATCAACTGTTCGAGTTATTTCTATATTGTCAAAAGAAGAAAGCACTATGCCAAACCTTTGTTGGCAAGCCATCCGCACCTCATTGATGCAATCCTCAATGTCTTATCCTTTCCTTTTGCCAGTGCTGTGGATATACAAAAACCAGACTTTTGTGCATATCCAAGAGCAAAGCGTTCTGATGATTTTTCTCAGAAGATAATTCTTCATGCAGGCGATGCTCTATTTATTCCCGAAGGATGGTGAGTCTTTTTAGTTATCTTTTTCTGTTTTCATATACCGAAATATGTTACGTACTCTGGTATGTGGCAGGTTTCCTGCATCATTCAAGTATTTAACCTTTTTATGAATCCTTCCTTAGGTATCACCAAGTGGATAGTGAAGATTTGACTATAGCTGTCAACTTCTGGTGGCGGTCAGACATGATGTCTGGTTTGTCGGAGCACATGGATTCCTACTATCTGCGCAGAATACTGAAAAGGTTTTTTATTTTTCCGAGCTTGTTTTTGTTCTTTGTTTCATTTCGTTTGATAAGAAACTTACTTCATTTTCTTTTGTTCATCCTTCTTGTGGTGCATTGAAGATTGATTGACAAAGAGATGGTAAGCGAGCTTTTACCTTATTTTTCCTTTATAGTTAGGGGTACTGTTATCATACCTTCCTTCATGATCAGGGTAGAACGAGATGCTCAATCTCGCTTCTGTTGCTAATGATGAAACAAAATGCAATAAGAATGACCATCCCTCTTCCTGGAATGCTGGTAAAGGAGGTTCGACAGTTCTTCCTGAAATTACTTCTTTGATGTTGAGATTTTGTTTTGGTCCTCTTTCACTAGAAAATCTTGATTTGGTGGGTAAACCTTTTGTAGGGGAAAATCTAAAGCAAATGTCTCTGTTGCATGAACTGGATTCAGTTGCAATCTCTGCTCTTCATGAACTTATATCGTTGGTTCATGATCGCGTCAAGCCAAGCCAACACATAGATTCCACCAAAGCAGATAACATGAAAGTGGACTTATACAACGTGTCAGATGATCCGATAGCTAAAGTTTTGTGGACTCTCGAACCGCTTCGCCTGCAACGTGTTCTTTTCATCATGGCAGTAAGTTCGTTTTTCTCGAAAGCAAGTTCCTTCATCTATATACGCTTTTGAATGTAATCCTCTCTGAGTTATATTTGCAAATTCTTCTGTGTAGTTTTTGACTTGTTTATAATTGTGTCTTTGCCATCTCTGCTTACTTTTCTCATAAATAGTCTCTGACCACTTGTTGCTGGGTGAGAAAGAGTTGGTTGATGCTGATCATATGGAAACATGTATGAGCGAAAGCTCTTATATTACTTAATGATAGGTTGGTAGAGGGGATTTGTTTGCTGAGACAGCATTGTTTTGGTAAAGCTTTCTGTTAAGTCAATACAGCCGAGTGTTATTTGTTCCATATTCTTTTGAGAACTAATTCGCTTCCTGCCATTGCACATTCGAAAAGGTTTAAACAGTGATATTAGATCTTGAATGGCTGTAGCAATTTTCCTGAGATACTTAACGAAGAGTGCTAGTTCCTTACCTACTGGTTCTTAATTTTTGTGGGTAAACTATAAACCATAATCATCACAATTTTCGGTCAAAATTCTGTTAATGATACTGTCTTTAGCAGACAGATACAAGAAATAGCTAATTAGAATCAAACTGCACAAGTATATCACTCCAATCTCCCTACAGTGCTAGTTCCTTACCGCTTCTTGTAAGATGCATGCCGCATTATGTATCCAAATTTCTTTCAGTACCATTATTATCATGTTGTAAGCATCATGGTTGGAGAAGTAAACTTGCATCATTGTACTAGCTTCTGGGTCTGAATATTAAGAAGACCCTTCGTGAGGGACTGATTGGTATATAACATGGCAAGTTATTATCCTTAGAGTGATTTGTGGTGGAAGAAAAAATCTCTTCCTTGTATGAGAGAGACTTATTATGGAGCCAAACTTTAGTTTTTGCAAGGAAATGTACAAGTGGAAGGACTGATGCTAAATGTGTGAGCATCGCTGTGTTTTAGTGTTTTGTGGCAGATAGAAAAAGTTCAGGATTGATCTCGTACCATTATTTTCAGCTGTATGAAGTAGGATTCCTTAGCAGTTGGATACTCATTGTTTCATTTATTGGCCAGAGGTTCCTTTGGTTTAATTTAAAATCTAGTCTGTATGTATGGCATAAGACAAATTACACGGTGATAATCTGGAATTTCACAGACATGGAACAGTTTGTCCTTTTGTTTCTTTTTGTATTTGTTTTTATCTTCTTCCCAACCTTTGGTCCAAAGACCATTTGTTTGTTCTCAAGCCCCTGTTTTTATTTATACTGGTTTTGATCATCTATTGCTATGCCACTATCTAAACAGTGCTTGGAAATGCTTGTTGTTACAGTGGTCTTTTATCTCTTGTACTGTTTTAATTCCTCCAATCATCTTCTCTGATTTGGATTTTTGGACTAACTTTGCCTCGCCAGAATAATTTTCCAAGAACTTTGGAGGCTTTAATATTGCATGTACTGTCGCCTGTTGCAGCAGAAGTCCTTACTCGAAAGTTTGAGCAGATGGATGAGCTGATTAATGAAGAAGATAGGTGTGATATAATGTCCATGTAGTATCATCCTTTGTTTCTTCATATTTGAAAGCTGCAATGCCAACTTTTGACCATACTTTTTGTTTCTGCGTGTTACAGGAATGAGTTTTACAAGATCCTTTACGGCGTCTTTGAGAATCAGTTTGCAGCCATGGATGCACTTCTGAATGGAAAAGAGTCATTTGCACGGAAGGTATAACAATTTCTATGAGTGAATATTGGTTTGGAGTGATTCGTTGCCATCCATATTTGTTCTTCACAAGTGTGTGTGTGCGCGCGTGCGTGTGTCTTTCCTTTGTTTTCTTGGGGATTTTGAAGTGAGTTGTCTATTTGTACTGATGTTAAATACATTTATGTATATAGTAGGACAGTATGACTTGGATATTTCATGGACTCAAAAGTGATGAGGATCTTCTTGTTTTAACAAAGATTAATAATATTAGTCTATTTTGATCATTATTTTTCTGAAGTTTTGGTGCTATGCGTGCTCCTCTCTTTAGGTAAGCCAGTTTCCTAGGGGCCTTAGGTTGTTTTTGGTTTAGATGAAATGTTGTGAGGACTTGGCTTCTAACCAAGGTTAGTATCGGCTTTATTTTTAGTGAGAGGATCTGAGTATCATTGGAATGCGGGCTTAGATATCTAAAACAGTGTTTTTACTTTCTTGGCCTTTTGGTTCTGTTATTTTTTTCACTAGTTTATTTTTGCTTGGTTTGCGCTGCGGGATTGGGTTGGAGGAGGGAAAGAGAAGTGTGAGGGTAATTATAAACTAGAAGGATCAAGTACTCTCTGGAGGATCTGGAACAATGTACCACTTAGCTGGCACTTCGTGAATTCTTATGTGAGTAAAACTCATATGTGATGAAATTGATTATAACTCGTGGTACTGCTGCGTCTTTAATTATTTCCACGAGTATATAGCACCACTCCGTGAAATCAAATTCTTATTTCAACGGGAAAAACATTATTAATCTCATTTCAGTCCGTCTCTGTGATGCATTGCTCCTTTAGTCGTATGTCAAGATTTTTTTTTATTACGATATTTTTGCATTTGAAGTTACCTATTAATCTGCCACGAATCGTGATCTACACTTCAGGATTGCTAGCCCAGTCAGTTTTTGTGTTTTCTTTCTTCTCTTTTTTTTTTTTTCCTTTGGGAAAAGGGTGGGGGTTCATTTGTGGGTCTTTGATGATGGATATTTTTTGTGGCATCTAATTCTCTTTTGTCTGTTGTTGCTAACTAAAGGTGTGGGTTTCTTGATATGATTGATTGGATGTGCCTCTATGTTCATTTCCATTATCAATATCAGCCCCCGGAATGTAAGGAACATGCTCCTAATGATGCATAATTGTTACTATTATGTTGGTGAAGGACTATTAGATCGTGAGTGGCTGTGCTATTCATGTAAGCTCGTGTCTAAACTAATCTTTTTGGTGCTTCAGGCATTCAAGAATGTGCTGGAACAGAATTTGGGAGTACACTTTGAGGGGTCCAATCCTTCAGTTGAATGAGGCATGAACTGGCCCTGGCTTTTGTAAAGATACTGGTCCCTGCTCTGTTTGATCCACTGTAGAGGTGTCATCGTATGATCTGCACATGGTTGTGCCTTCATATAGTTAAAAAAAAAAGTATGAGTCTTGCACAGTACTTATCCTCTTGAGTTCTCGGTTTTGATAGCTACTGATCTGTTTAGACTTGTAATTCAGTTTGCTTCGCCAGGTACTTTTGGTAGTTGTTCCTTAGTTTAGTTAGATATAACAAAGTGCCAGATTTAGGAGCTCAGTTAATCCTGTCATCCATGTAGAAAATAATAGATATCCGTGAACTGCCATGTATCTTATCCTTCAATGTGGTCGAAACTATTTTTCAAGGATTCTGATTATTAGTGGAGCCAAAAATACTAGCCTTTAATTTAGCAAACTTAGTTGATGGGGAATAATACTGTAAAGGTGCCATATATCTTTATCTTTTCAGCATGCATCATGGATTTGAAACCTCCACATTTTGTTGGATCATATATTGGTCTCCACTTAGGGTCATGTTTATGAGTGCCTTAGGCAAAACCGTCTTAGATTTTTGCTAATTGTTGTGTTTTTGAAAGTTCCAGTAATTTGCATGAGATTCTCAGGCTGAAAGCTTTAGTGAAAAAGCCTGCAAAGAAGGTTGGATTCATGATTGGTTCTGGATGGTAAAAAGAACTAGGGGGAAAAAGGTTAGTCAGAGATGAGATTCCCTCATCAAAGATGGCATACACAAGTCTTTTTTATGTTCTTGGAGGGAGGAAGAACACAGTATGAGGTATTAGAATAGAAGCTTTTTCCTAGTTTGTCTGGTTCTGTAAATCAAGGCAAAGGTTGAAAAAGTATTTGTCTTTCTAAGTAGGCAAATGGTATATTTATGTTTGTGTTGTTGCACCTTAACCCTGCCACTTAAACACACTACCCCAGTACTACTTTTAAAAAGCTTGGATATTCCATGCTTCTTCTTGGTAGCTACTGCTTTCTTTATGTCTTTATTCTCATTCTCATTCTATCGTCTTCTCTTTTTAACATGCTGAATATGCTTGAATATTACAGTCTGTTCATCTTTTTAACGGAATATCGATGATAATGTATGGTTCATTTGCATGTATAGTGATTTGCTCTCGTATGATTTAGAGATTTGGTTCTTTCTGTTATCTCTTTACCACGATTATATACTTGTACTTTTGCGTTAGTCATGTTTAGTGTTACTCTTCTTGCTTGTGAATCCACGTTAACAATTGCTTTTAATCTTACTTTGTTCTGAACTGACTGGTTTAAATGGTTGGCCGGCACAAAGCAAAGCAAAGGCTGGTGCATGGGAAGGTGCACGGAATTTAAGAAACAGAGACTTGTCCTGCCAAAAAGAAAGACAATTCTCTCCAGTTTCAGAACTTTTTCTCCGGCGTTGACATTTTTATTCTCTTAGTAATTAGTGTATTTTTCATCTTTTAGCTTCTTTGAATTTCCGCCTTCTTTTTCTTTATGGTTTTTGTGCCACTAACCACCCAAAAAAACGCTCCCGGACCACCACAATCCCACCACCACTACTAAGGCATTAAATAAGCACAAGGGAAACCAACTAAGCCACCTTTAATTTTACATATGCTCACGCTTATAAAAACAAGCCTTCTTTAGAAAAGGGCTGCGGGGTTTTGCATTGGGGATTGTTGCCAACTTCATCCATCAAAATCTTTTCAACCTGCATACGTACCATAATATATACTACAGTACCTTAAAAATATGTAAGGATGCATGGGATAAGGAAAAAGAATTTCTTGGGATTTGATTGTGTTTTTTATATAGAAGTGAGTGCCGTAAATTTCTCAATTTCAACCCACAACTTTCAGTTTTACTGCCACCTGCTTTCCTAAAGGCTAATAAAAGTAAAAAATGCCAAGTACAATTTCCTGAGTTTCTGTCCTAATTTTCTTTGGAGCAGGATATAGTGTTGCGAACTAATTCCAACTCATGATGGTAACGTAACAGCGCAACATCACGTTGGTTTTGCTTATTGTAATGTAAGTGTAACGTGTATTGACTACATTTTGGCAGGTTTGCTTTGCCATTTGGGATGGCTGTTTGTGTGATTTTTCAGGTTAAACATAAAATATGACTCTACAACAATTTGAATTATTAAAAGGAGACCTCGGATTTGATCAACCGGAAGTGGAGCGTGGAGGTGTGACATAAATTTCGTGAGTCTAATTTTGAAATCGGATTATATGGCTTTCTTACCCGCTTCTTGTCCAGGGGATTTGCAACGGCTAAATGAACCTCCGTCAGGATTAAAACTGATGTGACTGAAAAACGACTTGATAGACATTTCTTACCCGCGAAATGTGTTAATTTCTAGATTTAGGTTTCTGCCTCCTTTCCTTGTACTAAAAAAGGAGACGTAGAATTGGGGTATAGTTTTCTCCCTTAGTATACCAAGACACATGATAGTTGTATTAACTTGATCAAAAACACAAATGAACAAATCAAAAAGTAGGAGGCCGCATATTTCTGGAAAACGATCGCATTAATTTAAACACAAGAAAGAAATATTCCATTTCATATCTAAAATTAAATCCTCGACGATAAAACATCCGGGAGAAATCCTGACAAAAGCAAGTAAAATGTAACTAGCTACTAAAACTCTAGAAGAGATGTTTTTTCAGCTTCCTCAAAAGGAAAGACATATAAATTAAAAAGATTCTCCTCGGTTGGTGACGTCGTTGTCCATTTTAATAATCTGTTGTTAATCGCCACCTTCCGTCAACTGTTTCTCCAAGTCTCCGGTGCAGTAGCCGGAGGCTCGCCAACAAATCCAAAACTTTTAGGCTTCAACAATGAAAGGTCACGTTCATAAGTTGGGAACTCCACGCTTCCCGTGAACGATAAAACTCCTCTCATGTTAACGTTAAGGTTAACGTCGATGTTCCCGTTACCATTCCCATTGATGGCGCTCCCTCCTCCTCCTCCTCCACCTCCGCCGCCACACTGGCCGTGATCGCCGGTCAAACCCAGAAAATCCCGGGTCAACCGGTCATTCTGGTGCCAAGCGCCGAGATTTCCGGACGGCGCGAAACTCGGGTACTCCGGCGGGTTGTTCCCGATGTTGGTCATGTCCAGATGGGTCATGGTAGAATTGACGTGGCCTAGGGAATGGGATCCAAGGGCCGCCGCCTTTTGGAGGAGGGCGGTGGCGGAGAGGCTGTGATGAACGGGGTCATTGAGGGTTTGCTGGAAGAGTGACGGCGGCCGGACGAGTCTTGCGGAGGCGATGGTGGCGGTTGGTTGCGGCGGCTGTTCTTGGAAAAATGGTGAAGAGATGGGAAGGTGGATGGTTTCAGGCTTGATAATGTTATTATCATTCTGAAGCTGGTGGGTTTGGTTAGGGCTAGGGTTTTGAGGAGGGAGGAAGTCCCATGGAAGAGGGTTGAGAAAGTGTGGGCGCTGTTGGAGTTGGAATGGGTACAGCGGCGGCGGGGGCGGTGCTGGTGTTGAATTTGGCCGGAGAAGTTGGTGGTCGGTGGTTGCGGCGGCGGCGGAAGGTGGTGGCGAAAAATGCACTTGAGTTGCTGAGAGTCTAGCACTTTCTTCAGCCAATGCATCACAAAATGCTCTATGAGTCACAAAGCTGTCCTTCCTGTGCACATGTGACACAAAATCATAATATTTTAGTTAATTCCTTTAAACAATAATCTAACTATACTTAATTAATCCATGAAGAAATGGATGTGTTCAATTACAAAATTAAAAGCTTCCAGTAAACAATTGGAAAAAAAGTAAATTAAGCTATATATAAATTGTTTTTTCAGTGTGTGTTTAGCTGGTGATGACTGACATGATGATATATGATGGTACGGCTAATTTGGCGCAATCACATTTGACTACATGGTGTGTTTTAATATTTAAATTCGGTTGGTTCTTGGTCCAAAAGTAGCATAATAGGTTAGTATGAATAAAATAACTGGGAAGAGAAAAGAAGGAATATAATATATATGCATTTGATGAAATGATGATGCATATGTATGTAGATTGTTCATGAGTGAGAGAGGTAAAAAAAGATGCAAAAAACTCATCATGCAGGAGTTGATGTTAACGTCAATCCATGCAAAAAGGGTTTTGTTGCGAAAGAAACTCCAAAAGATTTTTGATATCAGAGCTCATACACTACTACACATATCATCCACGGATGGACACCAGACTTTTTCTCCGCAGGGATGGGCAGATTTTTCTGCGTGTACATATATTCTTGTACTATAATATTCAATATGCAATCGAATTCTATGTGAGATTAAACCTATGGAATCTGGAATGAACGTAACTTGCTCCAAATTTCTTACTCCTTTATTATAACGACCCCCCACCAAAAAAAAAAAAATTATATGCTCAAGGAAAGTCTTTTTTAAGTAGGATGAACTATGAAAACGACACATTTATTCCGTTTAATGACTTATGTGACACAGATAACAAATGGCATAAACATTTCTTTTTGCTATAACTTCAAAAAGTTTTATATGAACGCCACATCAATCACTATAGCATTTAAAACCAAAATATTTTTTTGTATGTATCTATATATATATATTTGTGATGATGACGCACTGAATTTTTTCAGGACACAACAGAGAGCATCATGATTCATGACTACTTCCTCTAGGCAAAGAATACCACCCTGCACAGATTTTCCTTACTGGGATTTGAGTACTACTAATACCCGCTATGAAACTTGGAGAAATGGTACAAAATCCATCATTGAAATTTTTTACCCCCATCTATAGGTAAATATAATATTACAGTACTCCATCCATTCCAGGGTAAAAAAACACAAAAATTTGTTACATTGTGGTGAAATTAATTTAACAAACATGAATCGTTTGTTAAGACATCCGAGAACCAAGCTTTTGACCATAGCGAAAAATGAAACAAAAAAATTCAATCACAAAAGGTTCTCGATCAAAATGAAATTTTCATAGTCATTAATTAATTGGGTCCAAGAATTTGATGAAATTTCGGATTGTTAGGGGAAAACAAAAAGACATAAAGAAAACATTTTGTGACATTTCATCAAGTTGATTCATTTGGTTTTGAGGGTGATTTTTCCTATACTGTAAACCTGAAACGCTTACAGTATAGGAAAAATCACCATCTTCGAAGTTTGACCATCTTCATCACCATCATCATTTTAAGTTTTTTAAAACCACTGTTGCATTAATGACTCACATTTCTACCTTACCTGTCATTCCCTTTAAGCAAACTAGTAAAAACAAAATTTCCCAACAGAAAATTCCTCACTGATCTGGTGTAAGAAACACCCAGAAACAGAAAAAATAAAATTAACCTTGTTAATTTTGAGTGCCCAAAAAAATTCCATCTTTAAAGCTTCAACCACATTGAATGAAGGAGCCAAAAAATAAAGGGTTCTAAAAAGATTAAATAAAGTGTTGCATGCATAGTAAGAAACTCTCTCTCTCTCTCTCTCAAAAAAAAAAAAAAAGAAAAAGAAACATGCTTGTGAATTAAGATGAAGAAAAAAAAAGGGCCAAAAAAAGAAATGAACCTGGAAAAAAGGGTTCCACAATCACATCTATACTCTCTGGTTCCACAGGTCTTAGAATGAGCTTTCCAGTCAGATTGAACAGCATAAATCTTGGAACACTTTTCACACTTCCATTTCTTCTCACCATGTTTCCTGCAGTAATGTTTCTTGATCCCTGTAAGATCCCCAAGTGCCCTTGATGGATGATGATGAACACATGTGGGCTCAGGACAAACATAAGCTCTCTTCCTGTTTTCCTTGTTGTTCCTTTGCTTCAGCTTCCATGGAAGATTGTGTCCTCTCCTGTGAAGCTGCAGATTCTGATCCCTCTGGAATCCCTTGTTGCACACTTCACAAACAAATCTGTTTGTTGCCAGAAGTGTCTTTGGTGACAATGCAATCACCTCGGCATCAGGATCTGTTTAAAAAGTAGGAAAAAAAAAACAATAAAAACCTTAAAGGGGCTAATGAATTAATTCATACATGAAATTAACTTAACAAATTTATTGGTTTTACCAGGGTTTCCAGGGAGATTTCTCTTCTTCTTGATTTTCTGAGGAGGCTGACTATGATGATGATGATGATGATGATCAGATAAGATTGAGTGAGCAGCCATTGGATTCAAAGTAGCAAAATCCTGAACTCTGGTCACAGATGAAGCGCTGGCTTCCTCGGAGAGAGAAGTTGAGTTGGACATGGACGTAGGAAACATCGCCAAAAATCACAAGTACAGAGAAAACTGAGAAAATCAAAACTGTCTTTTTGTGTTGTACGGATATGAATATGTAGTATTAAGTAGGGTAAATGAATCCCACTGTAACAAACGGCTATAAAGACCCACCGGGAAGAAAATCAACAAGTGGAAGAAACACAGCTCAGAAAGTATGGTCATGGAAGGCAAGAAACAGCAGAGTTAATTACAGGACAAACCCCCTCCCCCAAAAAAAAATGAGTCAGTCAGCAGAAAATGCTAATGTTGAACACCAACAAGTGGCAGCTCCCAGAATGGCGTCATTTTTTTTTGAGCAACATTGATCAGTGGGTTGTTTTTTGAATTCTCTCTTTCGGGTTGAATTTGGCCAAAGCAAAAAAAAATGATCCTAATTAATATCAAAGTCACTATCTTTAAGTATCTATCTAACTATGGTTAAATTTGTTTTGCTTGTCTGTCTGACCAAACTCTGCAAACAAAAAACATTCAGACTTTATTTTTGGTAGTATTATGCATATATCCCTAAGCTAAAATAGAACATCACATGGAAAGAACAGACAAAGCTAGCTAGCTAGAGGCTGGGTTTTTTCTGTTACTACAATTAACCCTTTTTTTCCCCTGCTGCTATATATCCTATCAAGTATGAACTATTCTCTCCTTGAGTTGCCATCAATAGGGATCTATCTATCTGTATATATATGCGAATAAAGAGGGAAAGCTTACACAAGTGTGTGTATGTACATGTGGGGGTGAATATATGTCAGTATTTGGTGTAAATATATATATGTGTATAGTACAGAATGTGATCATTGCATTGGAAGACTATATCTAGCTAGAATAATCCTAACCTTCTGAAAACGACATTTTATTTGGGATTGTTTAATTACACTTATTTGATATATGTAGCTTCTCATGACATATTATTGTAAGATAAGTATGCACTCGTCCTTAATCATTTGTAATACAGAAGTGATAATCAAATCGTGTTTTTATGTTATTGGCGATATCAGTATTAGTTGTATTCAATTTAACACATATATTAAAAGTGGGTAATTAGTAAATATCATGAGAATGAATTAAGATTTAGAACTTGGTTTGGAACAATGTCTTATCTAAACTGACTGTTCAAATAATGATCCGCGAAACAAACCTTGTAAAACGGAAGAGAGGAACAAATCCTAATCAAACGATTATGGGCGTAAAAGAAGACAAGAACAAAGCCTAACCTATACGAAATGACCAGGAATAATCATTCACCCTTTTCCCATCACTCATTTCATTAATTTATTTTTGTTTGCTTTGTAAAATATTGTAATTAGTAGGGACTTTCTGTCTTTTCCTCTTTATTTTCTCCCCTGTCACAAAACACCCACATCCTAAAAGGTCATTGATTTGAATATTGGAATGATACAGAAAAAAGAAACAGTGATAAAGCAGAGCAGGCTTAGACAAAAAGAAGGTTAAAAAGCTTGCCAAAGGGTGTAGGAGGCTGCATGGTGTTTAAAGTCTGTGGCCCAAAGGGAAACTGCAAGAATTGATCAGGCAAACTGGATATCCTGTGTCTCACTTTCCACTCAATTTGTGTACTATTGAATAATTACAGTAATAAGTAGACTAATATTAAAACAAGATATTCTTTTTTATTGTGGATAATGTAGCACTACAAGTCTAATATTATGATATATGTTGTTTATTTCTGAAAAATGCGCCAATTAAACTTGTCCTACCCATTATTTTTACGGTACCATAATAAACGATACTTGCCCCAAAAACAATAACACTTTTTAAAATTCATTTTCTTGTAAGCTAATTATAGTTTTTTTTACTCTCAAAATGACATTCTCTTTTATTAAATAGTAGAAATTGTTATTATTTACTGTCACAAGGAAAAGCGTCACATGAGACTGATCAAATAATATTTTGGAAGAAAGAATCATATATACCCCAGTTTAGGACTTTAGGTGATCATGAAATGATCACGTACTAACACTTAAAAAGATGCAATCATCCGTTCTTTAATCACAAATATAGTGGAAGATTCATGTGATATAGGAACCCTTAATTTTATTTTATTTTATTTTTCTAGATTGATGGGTTTTTTAAAAAAATTTCTTTACATTTACTTCATGTAGTGCACGATGTAAGTCCAATTAAACCCCACCACAATCTCCTTATTCTGGCTTTTCCCTTTTCAATGTTTTTATATTATTCGAAACCCAAACTAAAAGGCACATTATAATTAACCACGACTATATTTGAGTAATTGACTTCTTAACACGTGACAATATGGATCCTAAAGAAAAGATGAGGCAGCTTCGATCCATCTTCCCAAAGTAGATTTCGGGGCCAGACTGCCGTAGTAATTAGAATCAGCTAAATCTTTGATTGTCTGATCACCGTGTGCTCGAAAATTATCATCAAGAACAATTCGTTGCCCCGATTAATTAATTATAGTTTTGTCACTGAAAAATTAACTTAAACCGACAGTAAAACGTACATTTCATTTTTTTAAACCTATATATTTAGTTTATTTAAAAAATTTTGTAGACTTATTACAATATAAGACATATGATTGCGCCGCGTTATTTGAGAATTATTAGGATACAAAGAAATTTAGAACGCTAAGAATCAGTCTCCTATAAAACACTTCTAATGTGACATGCAAAGAGTTATAACGTGAGATATATATATATATATATATATATATATATAATTTATATATATATATATAATTAATTTAGTACACACTTCCATAATTCCATCGAAAAGGTGACCGGACGGAGAAAGAAGAAAGCACTAGGGGATTAGGTTTGTCGCGATGATCACATATTTTGGCAAGAGAAAAACCCGTGAACCCAAAGCGTAATCTTTAAATCCGATTTGTGTAATCCATTCTTCCATTCCCGAATGATTTACTCGTGTGCGCTAGCTCCTTCACTCGACGCGAAATAATTTATTCTTCGAACCATATTAAAAGAGGAAAAAAAGGGGGGATGGGGAGGGAAATGCCCAGTAGAGATGTAAAATGGTTATTATATACTCCTTCCGTCCCATAATTATTGTCCTTTTTGCCCAAAAAATTTTGTTCCAAAATTATTATCCAATTTGACTTTTTATGGATCAAGTTACACATTTGTCCTTAGTAAAAAACACTATCCATAAAATTTTAGTGGTTAAACAATTACTTATGTATGGGTATATCCGGTTGTTTAAGGTAAAATATAATTAAATTTGACAAAAAATAAAATTTTTCATTTTAGTAAAATTGGACAATAATTATGGGACGGAGAGAGTATTATATTAAAAAAAAATTTTGGTCCCATACGTAAAATGTCCTGACGTGGCACGAACGTCACTCGGATAAGAAGTAATACGACGTCACACATATCTTGGGTTAGTCTGTATCTTTTATTTTTGTATGATAAATATATATATATATATATGTATATTACTGTCACAGTGAATAATAAATCAGTTCATTACATTTTTCAAATTAAGTCTTAAGTTATCACATGTTACACCTCCCAAGGCGTTACAAATTGCGAGCTATCCTCTTGCATGGCACACCGCCAGGACATTGAGACCGGTAACAATTGTCAAAATCGGGTCTAACAAACTTATTACAGTAATAAACACGCGTCAAGCAGATTTTTGCTATCGTCTTGCAAAATGCCAGCAACTCCCAAAAGGCTCTGTACGTTTCTTCTTACTAGTACTTACCTGCACATAGTTTTTAATTTAAATACACACAAATTTTTTAATCAGTAAAAAATAAAATTTATTTTATCAGTTGTGATTTTGTGAAAATATTGTAAAACCTAGTGTTTTTTTTTCAAATGTAAAATTAAACCAACCAATGTAAGTTGACATTTTAGACAATAATTCATTGATAAAGTCTAAATTAGAATTCTTAATTTATACAAATATTGTAACTAAACAAAATGTAAACCATCCTGCAAATGGAAAACAGTAAAAATAAAAAATAAAAAATATTTATTACTAGCATCGCATCTCAATATATATATATATATATATATATATAATACAAGATGCCTTTTGTTATTTATAAGAAACTCATCACAATAATTCGCACTACCATATAGCCATGTAACATGCACCACCATTTGTAAATAATTTATATAGCCATTACCACTATTTTAAATAACGAAACAAATTTAATAAAACTAATCTTATATTCTGTTTCACCCGACCAATCTATTTAATTATTAGTCAAACGAAACGAGGGTGTAGCTTGGGTTTTCATTGTCGATAGTGCATATCGTTTTGATTGTGCAAATCTTATAACTAATCTTATAAAATGTCCTGACGTGGCACGAACGTCACTCGGATTAATTTTCGTTTGATAAAACGAATGTATCAATCAATAAATGTAGACTCTCTGAGTAATTAGACATATGTTTGTGATGTATACTCTCATAGTCAAAACTTTCAGTGTATAGTCACGGGGAGGAGATAAGAAGTAATAAGACGTCACACATATGTTGGGTTTAGTGTGTATCTTTTATTTTTAATTTTTTGTAATAAATAGTATATATTATCGTCACAGTGAATAATAAATCAATTCATTACATTTTTCAAATTAAATCAAAATATCACATGTTACACCACCCCAAGGCCATACAGATTGCTATCCTTTTGCATGGCACACCGCTAGAAATTGAGACCGGTAACAATTGTCAAAATCGGGTTTAAAAAAATTATTACAATTATAAACACGTCAAGCAGATTTTTGCTATCGTCTTGCAAAATGCCAGCAACTCCCGAAAGGCTTTGTACGTTTCTTCTTACTGGTACTTACCCGCACATAGTTTTTAATTTAAATTTACACAAATTTTAATCACTAAAAAGTAAAAATTTACTCTTCCGTTTTTAATTTTGTGAAAAGATTGTAGAATCTAGTTTATTTTTAAAATTTATTTTAAAAAATAATGTTGACATTTTTTACAATAAATTCAAAATAATATTGTTAAAATCTGAATTATACTTCTCAAATTATACAAATATTGTAATTAAACAAAATTTAAACCATCCTTAGAAACTACAACCGGAAAGTAGAAAAAGAAAACAATAAACAAACATTCATAATTAACCACGCATCTCAAAAAAGAAAAAAAAAAAGTGTCCTATGTCAATTAAGAAAGCCATCACAACAATGAGCACGATATGACGATGTAACCTGCACAACATTTGTAAACAATCCATATAATCATTACCACTATTTTAAATAATAAAACAAAATTTTATACTGTATAACTAATCATATCTTCTATTTCACCTGACGAATTTATGTGTTTGAAATTCTTTTTAATGATAAGTAAAATTATAAAACTGTTGATATACCAAGGTAATAATTTTTTACTTTACATTTTGACTGAACAATTGCACAAGTATATAAAAATTATTTTGTATTAATATACATAGATTGACTTCGAGTGAGTGATAACAAATGAGCTGTCGGCCCAAATCTCACACTCTTGAAATGGGCTGTCGGCCCACATCTCACACCTTCTCCAGTTCCGACTTCCAATACCTACAGTTCAGCGAGAAGATTAGTTACTTGTACGGACGGTGAAGACACTACATATAAATATGTACAAAAAAAATAATAATAATAATAATAATAATAGTAATT